TGGATGAGCCGTTGCATTGACCGACCATCCCACTTGGTAACCTGACCAAGGATTCTGCCGGGACACAGGCTGGTGGCAGCAACAAAGAGTCAACCCTAAAACGCCGGTAGGAGAAATATCAGTTTCGCGCCGCGACTGGGAGTTGACCACGGGCCGACAGCTCAGTGTCACAGAGATAAGCAAAGAAAGATCTGTTCCCGACGAGGACATGACCGTCACGCGGCTCGTGGATTGATCAAAAAGCTTAAGCGGCAAGTTCTACAACGGATCTCTTTGTGTCACCAACATATTTCAGAATAGAGAAATTAATTTTATCAATTCTCCGATGCAAATGTTATATATATCAAATCCTTTCAACAATTTATACAGGCAACACTCGACGTCTGAACAGTTTTGTTGATGGAATAATAGTGTAGTTTATATAGGGTGGGATGAATATAAAAACGAATGTGTTTATTATTATTATTATTCACAGACAGGAAACGCTGAAGATGCTGGAATATTGAAATTTTAAACTTTTAAATTAAAACTTATTTTTATGTATCTGGGTATGTAGTCTAGCCAACGAAAATTTAATTTCATTATGCTTTTGTTTTTGTTTTGATCACTTTTAATAAGTATCCAACATTGTGATACTAGAAGATCTGAAGCAAAAAGGTGAAATGTTCTAAGAACCCGGACGCAAATTTACTATGGATAATCTAAGCGATCAAAGCACTTTCTATACACTAAAAATATTATTTACGTATGGAAAAGCAACTCTGCTTAGGATCAAAGTGTATTCTGTATGTTCTGGAAAAGTAAAAAACAAAGATACCCACAGACATCTCTGTCCTTTATATCTCTCTTTATGTATATAATTTATAATGCATGTGAGACACCACTGACCAATGAAAATCAAACCACACAAATTGAAAATTACCCAAAATTCCTTTTGTTTCATTTTTCTCAATCTCTGACGAAGCCTTAATAAAAGTGAAAAATGTTGGATTGATAAACGTTTTCTATTTGTTTCTTTATCCTGTCGAATTCAGGATACATATTTTATCTACATTTGATCTTTAATCCTGAAACTTCCATAAAAGCCGATTGATGTTATATTCAAACCAAGACCCCAGAGTTTCGTAAAAGAACGTTTTTGCAATTGTTCGGTGCACTTGTCAGGAGGTATTACTAATTATTTGCCGATTTTCTCATTTTCGTTAAAACAAAATATTAGGTTAAAAAAACATAATTTATGTACTTATTATTGGTGTTAAGTTGATTTTTTATTTTTTGTGTGTGCATATATTACACCTTAATGTGTTTGTTTGTGCACATGTCGTGGTTATATATAAATTTAAATTCATTTTTTAATCCTTGAAAGTGTGGTCTGATGAGCCAGGGAAAAGTAATTCCTGGGGAAATAAATTATAACCAATGAACCCTTAAAGTTGTTCTTTTTTGAATTAGGAATATTTATATATATATATATATATATATATATATATATATATATATATATATATATATATATATATTTATATATAGTTGTGTGTGTGTGTGTGTGTGTGTGTGTGTGTCATCTGTGTCAAAAGCAATACGACTGAGGATTGAGGAATCGGAAAGCAGAGTTCAAATTCAGTCAATTTTTTGCATTCACTTCGTGCTAGCACCCTTAGGAAAATAATGAATCCATCTCTTCTCCTTCGAGCTATGGGCAAATAACAGAACAAAAATTAGCCTTCGGTGGCAACCTGTTTATGGGAAGGAGAACTCTGATTTCAAGACCTGCGGAGAACGTTTTGGATTTGTGGCATTCTGTGTAAACCAGTTCTATGTATTCGGCTCTTTAAAGATTATGGTAAATTCTGCAAAAGCTATAATCAAATGTGCGGATATTCTGGCTATTGGTTCTAAAAATTGAAGAATTTGACTCTCATGCGCCGAAAACGACGGAGAATCCAGTGTAATTATTGGATAAAAAATATTCTGAGTCTACATTTTTTTGAGTTTTTTTATTTAGTCGAAATGTAAAAATAACTCCTGCAACTGCAGCTTTCATGAATGCTTGATATTGAAATGTGCATTTTTGGCCTGGTTGCCAAAATTTCAACATCCGCGGACGTTAAAGGGGGGTGGGTGGGGTCCAATAAAAATCATTATCAGGTCAAAAGGATTAGTGGTGATTTAGCATTGAGGTTATTAAGATTGGTTCAGCTTAGCCGGGAAATGCAAAAATTGTTATAGTTTATCCGGGAAATGGAAAGATTATTACATTTAGCTGGAAATAGAAACTCTATTTTTACAGCTTAGATTGTAAATATTGAGATTATTAAAATTATAAAAAATGGGAAAATTGTTAGCAGCTTTGTTGAGAAATGAAAACATTGTTCCCAATCCATGTAGAAAAATTGAATTTATTAAGGAATCCTGGCATAATAATAATAAAAAGAACTTGTTTCCATTGACCCAAATAAAATCTTAAAACTTATTGCCTCCATTTTGGCGTTGTCTCTTGTTCGTGTCCCAAGTTAATGTATAAGTTTTAATCTTTCTTTTCAATTGAGTTGAGTCTATTTGAAGTTAAAAATGATGCCGAAATTAATTAATATCTCAGTTAATCATGGATCAACATACCTATATAAATATTAATCATTAATAAAAATGCGACAAATTCAACCTCAACCCTTCTCCAAAAACCGAGTTGACCCCGGCTTCGTTCGACCAACCCACTCTGGAGAAACAAGAGAAATGCCAGGATACCACAGGCCAGTTCAGCAAGATCAACGAATTTCGAATGACTGATTCTTTTCGACATTCCACCACATACCACCATCAACCTCTAAAACTTTGAAATAACCTAACGCCTACTTCATGCACATGAACCAAGCGAAGGGATTCTCTCCTTAGGGAACAGAAATCATAATGCCCATGCCATAAAAAAAAAAAATGTTTAGGTATGGATTATTTTTTTTGTTTGTGTAGGATCTGCTGTCTTCCATATTTTTTCGTTCTCTCCATATGAACATTTTTGTCTTGGTATGGACTTTAATAACATATGACTTAAACATTCTATAGGTACTGATGTTGCCATTATTCAGACATTACATTTTCCATTGTCCAGTAGATAAACTCTAATCGTTTCCCTATCAATTGATATTTTCCCTAGCAAAATGAAAGCAAACTTCTCTTACCTTTGATTTAGATATTACCTCTACTCCTCGCTTAATAGTAGCTTAAAAACACCGTCTTCTTGGAAAATAACTGGGAAATGATCTCAGTAGCTATTGATATTTCGTTTTAACAACTACTATGGAATAATTATGATTCTTCCCCACCCCAAAAAAAAAAAAAAAAAAAAACAAAAACGAAATTATTTCTGGTCATAGCCCCAATACTGTTACATCTCACTGCAAAAAGCTCATAAATTATTCCTAATAGAAATTTTTATGCTTTGGTATAAATAAAAAACAATTTTTGGTGTTTAACATTTCTGTTTAACATTTTCAATTGAAAATCGTTTTCTTTCTCCTTGTCTCCAAGATCAAAAGTATCACAACTATTTATAAAACTAAGGTTGTGTGTGTTTGTTTGTTCTGTTTATATATTGGAGAATTATTTCAGAGAATTTTTCAAAACCGATTTCAACAAAACTTCACTTTTTTTTTGAACAGGTAAATGTTTCTTATTGTCTTAACAATATGACCAAATTTTGATTTAAACATTCTACTCTAATGCTTTAAAAAACAATTTACAAGACAAAATTGTTTAAAATAAAATTCTATTCAATCAGTAAATTTGCATAACGATTGAAAACAATGTTTTTCTTTGAATTTGGGATTTTAGTAACAAAAGTAAAAAAAAAATAAAAAAAAAAAACTAATTAAGACATGCGTGTCCGTAGAACCTTAAAAAAACAAAAAATTTTTTAAATTTAAATTTTTCAGTCTTTTGTTTGGTCGATACTTGATCTATCTCATCAATGTAAAAATAAACTGCAATGAAGGAGGAAACTAGTCTCACATAAAACCTCATTTTCCAATGTTGTATTCGCACTTTTTCCTTAAAATTGTGAACATTTTCTTTTGACTGTTCCAAAAAAGCTTAATGCAATGAAACTAAAGAGAGCACTATAACGATTGTTTGATTCACCACTTAGTAGAGCTTGAACCAAAATTAAAATAAAAAGGAAAAAGATTTTAAAACCAGTTTACATATATTTAATAGGAAAATATATATATATATATATATATATATATATATATATATATAAAAGTTTAAGACCATATTTAAATATATATATATATTATATATAAATATATTTATATACGCAAGGGTTTACAGAATGGGAGCGAGAGTAAAAGAGGCATGATGGAGGAAAGGAGGAAGAGAAGGGTAAAGATGTCGATTGACATTACATTTGAATAGTTGGAGATTATAGCTATCAGGAAACAAGTAATAGGAAGGGAATTCCACTGACGGGAGGTGTGAGACATAAAGCTATTGGAGTAGAAGAGATGACTACATTTAACTGTTTTGACAATGAAAAGGTGGGACTGAGATGCCAACCTAGTTGCATGTTTAAATTCATGCAGTCTGGGAACTAGCAAAAATAACTTGTCGGAGCATTTACTGTGAATGTATTTGTAGAAAAGACAGAGGGAGGCGACAGCATATCTGTGAGAGAGCGACTGTAGATGAGATGCCAGATCAGGGCCACTTACATTGCATATCCGTCTCTGAATTTTGTCGAGGACCTTAAGATGAACAGTGGGGGCACCAGACCATATATGACAGCAGTATTCCATGCAAGGGTGAATGGTTGATTTATAGATTTAAAGGATGGACTTGGGAAAGAAAAACTTTCTGGCATAGCACAGGGAACCAATTTCCTTGCGATGAAGCTATTGATTCAATGCATTTGTTCTATCTCAGGTCAGTGGACATTGTGAGACCAAGCAGTCCCAAAGATGTGCTCTTATGGAGTTGAGCATCAGACATTCTAATGGGAGGCAGGGATGATCCTCTGTGGTGAGTAATAGAGAGCAGTTTTGTTTTTGAGGCATTAAAGTTAACCAGCTAATTCAAGTCCCGGTCCAAAACCGATTGGAAGTCCTTTTCGAGACTAACGGCCAGGTTGGTTTTGTCAGCAATACCAGATTTGCTTTGAGGCAGGAGTAAATAGTAGTGTCGTCTGCATAGATACCCACTTGGGAACTGATGGTATTGAGAAGATTGTTAATAAAGATAAGAACAGAGTAGGGCCCAGGATAGGGCCTTGGGGAACACCTGAATTCATGGGAAAGGAACTGGAGGAGAATCTGTTTAGGACCACCTTAATAAAATTTAGTCATTTATGTTCAAGCATTATCATCATCCCCCACTGTTATCTCCTGCATTACATTAGGTAAAGCATCACAAAGGCTAAAATGTTGAAGGAGTTTGAACATGGCAGAATTGTTGAGCTGCAAAGTCAAGGTCTTTCTCTCAATGTGAGAAAGTGAGATTGGATGTATTAAAACTGCTGTTTCAAATTTTTTAAAAGAACCTGAGGGATATGAAATGGAAATTTCAAGCAAGAAAATTTTGTTGGCATTGAGCAGGAGGATTTGGTTTGTTGTCTGACAAGACATCAGTTGATCATCAAACTAGATTAAGGCCATTACAGATACAGAATGCAGCTCAAGAACAATAAGATGGCATCTCCAAAAGAAAGGTTTTAAAAATCATAAACATCTTCAAAGTCCATATCTCCTTCCACAGCACAAAACAGTTTGGTTAAACTTTGCTGAGATGTGCCAAATCTCGAACCATCCAGTATGTTTGCCTAACCTGAACTTTACTGAAAATATTTACGGGTAAATGGCAAGGGAAGTTTATAGAAACAAACTCCAATTCAAAACTGCATAATCTTAGTGTATCCATCTTCACCACTTGGAATAATATTCTGAATCTGTTAAACTTCCAAAACAACAAGGTTGGTGAAAAAGTTCAAATCCAATTTCAGAAAATCAAAAGGCAAGAAAGATGAGTAGTATAAAAATTACGAGTCACAAGTTCAATGTCAAAAGTCCTAGAGGAAAAATAAAATAGGGTAAAAAAATTCAACTCACAGATTCTAACACAGTGAACTCATTCTTGCTCATAAACCAAAAAATAAACCATCCTTGTCAAGAAAAGCAACAGCTATTTTTGAGTAGGTAAATTTTTCAATTGGCCGTGATAGTTGGGGAGGATAAAAAAGATTTACCATATGTGAGGCAGTAATTATCTAGATTTTTTTTTTCAGCAAATTGTGCACAGAACACAAACTCTTTTTGGTGGGTAGGTGATTTTCCTGTTCACCACACATTCCAGCCAGCCATTAGCAGACGTTTATATTGACAATGCCAAAGCGAATTTTTGAAGTTATTCACAATGATGTCTTGTTGGTTTAGATCTTTTTTAAAGCATGGTCTTAAACTTTTAACCAGCTAGTATTGAGTCCAATTTCCCAGTGTTAAAATTTTGCCTACTAAATGCTAAAAAAGTTTTTCATTTTTATTTTTCCTTTTATTTTCATTTTTCTACTCTCAGCTCAAATAAGTAGTAGAGTCTAAAAACACAAAAGGTGTATTCTTTCTTTATTTTCATTAGTCTTAAGATTTTGGCTTGCAGTGTATATATACACATAGAAGGTAAGTTTGATTAAAGCTCCTTGTTAATTATTTATTTTTTTGATGTTAAAATAAAAAGAAATAATTGACAAGGAGTTGTCTGTGGCGAATAAAGAAAACAGCAACTAGCGAGTAAATTCAAGCTCTCCCAGCTGGTATTTCAACCTCGAGTCGTTCCTTCTTGAGTTCTGTTTCAAAATCGCACTAACAGACTGTTCTAGCCGCCAATCGTGAACGTCACTCGAAAAACTCCCCACACTGGGAAAAAGTAGTTGCTTTTATATTTGTTCATATACCCATAATCCCTTGCGTTCATGTCCCATAATGCATTGACTCTTTATTGCATAAAAATGCAATGCAAGTCCCCCCTCATTCTTTTACGTTATCTGGCCGAGGATGGATTACAGCAGAGCGGTAAGTGCTTTTTTCTCCCTCATTTCAACTGCAGTAGCTTTACATGCTAAGCAAATACAGGCTCTTTTTTGGCAGGGACAAGGCAAGTCGCGACCAGTTGTGCTCGTCCCAGGTTCTGTCTCATGTCTGCCACATTATCATTGAAACAAAATAAATGAAATATTGCTTTCCATATATATATATATATATATATATATATGATCATTTTTTTTATTTTAACTGATTTTTAAAAAAATTTTCCTAATTAATGAGAATGATGGAAACTGATGGAAAACATTGTCATTACAGGAAATTAAATTTATTTTGTTTGGATTTTCAAACAATCCTTCAGCAAAGTTTTTCTTAGACATTATATAATGCCTCGAAATTTAAGATTGTAATTTACTGTTCATAAATATTTTTACTCTTATTATTTGAATAAGTGAAAAAATATTTATGAACTGTTGTGAGAAAACTGGGTTTAACTTCCATTGTAATTTATAGCATGACTTTTTATAGTTCTTTTTGGAGTATTATTCTAGTTTATATAGAATTTCCACTTCTTTACTTATGAGGTTATCCATAGCATTACTATGGATATCTTCATAAGTAAAGGATTAAATGATAAGTAAAAGATTAAAAGCGAATACTTTACATTTTATTTGAAGGTTGTGGTTTTGAGTCAGGATCATAAGTCTGAAGTTGAAATTCTTCAGAATCAAAGTGGGCACCTGCAGAAAGAAATAGATGAGCTGAAGAACATATACAGAACAAAAGTAGAACTGCTTCAAGATAACTTGAATGATTTGAAAAAGAAATCTGAATGTCAAATACTACAACTTCAGCAAGAACTCAAGTAAGGAGCAATCCTTTATATATTTTATGTTATGTGTTGCAAACTTTCTGAATTAATTAATAAAATTTTGTAATACATAAATATATAATACTCATAATATATAATAGTCATTTAGTGTTAAAATATTTTAGGAACAAAATTCTCATATTTTATTTAATTATCCAGATTTCTGAATGTGAAGATGTGATTTTGTGGCACATTGATCACACTGGATATAATGACCATAATATAATAAACAAATTTTACAATTAAATTTGTGATTCTGAATATAAATATAGTTTCACTGGTTATTCATGACTCTTTTATACCCGTCATATAGTATTCAACATTTTAATATAGATTCTCAAAATCACACACCCAAAATCCTAATTAGAAATGTAATTTTATGATTCCAAGCTTTGTTCAGACATCCAAATTCTAATTTTGTGCTGCTGTTTATGTTTCTACCACAGCGTAGTAATTAATACATTCTTCAATCTTCTTTGTATGTAATTTATAAAGGAAGAAAGGTTAACATTCAAACTGATAGATTCACTTAAATATACAAATGATACCATTCTACCTATAACTTTGAATGGTATCATTGGTGTATCTCATAACCATAATACAAAAATCAATCATTTCCCTTTGATGGAGATGAAGTCACATGGGTCATGTGTCAGCCACTTAATGATGTCACTCCATAATGGTGAGAAAAATGGCAGTTATTCATTCGGTTTACAAGAGCCAAACTGAGCAGATTTAGCCTCAGCTCTGGCACCTTGGTCTGATCTAAGGTTAAATCTGCCTCCTCCAGCACACAACACCATTTCCCTTTAGAATTATATCTTACCCGATATAGAAAGAAAGTATATCTGGCTAGCAGTCCTCAATTTGGGAAAACCCAAAACTTGTCATTTCCTGTTCACAGAATATGTCCTCACTTGGGACATAGTAGATGAATCCAGCCTGCTTGAATCTGGAGTCCTAAATATGGCTTCTCCAGAAACCCAGAAGAATCTCCATATTATATGTAAGGCTCTATCTTTATGTTCTTCTTTCACTCTGCTTGCTGTGTAGATATATGTTATATTTTTCTCTGCATGGGACACATGTAAATATGTATATATAATTTTGTGTATATCATGTTGGCATAAAACTCTCTCTCTGAGAACAAAGCATGTTTGTCATTCCTTTTAGCCATGTGGTATTATTATATCATGGATATAATAATACCCATAATGGGGGAAATACAAATGGGAGAATAAACCTTTCTTCCATAGATTTCTTGCATTACATTGGTGACCACAACAAGATATTATTTACCTGACATGTGATATTATTATCACCCATTAACCATTTTGTGATAACCATGAAGAAGGCTGCAGAATGGCTCAGCTGAAATCTTATGGTAACAACACAAAGGAGTTCCATAGTCTAAAAAATTCTTGGAATCTTTTCAAAGACATTGATTTTATGGTATATTGACATATATGTAATGTAATCGTTTATTCAATCTACAAGGAAGGATTGTTCTTTTCTGTTTCATGCTGGAGGATATCATATCATTTAATCCCCAGTTATTCTTGTGATACTGCTTTTGCTTATGACTTTTACTGCTTGATAAAAGGATTGAACTCATGATCACCAGGTAGCTGCATGCACTTAATTAATACTTATATCCACTAGGCCATCCAGCTAAATTCTTAAGTAGCAACCAAGACACAAGCCAATAGGAGATAATCAGTCTGGGACAAACAACACTCTTGCAAGCATAACATTGGTTTCTATAAGTAGTGTTACAAGTGTGGATGATAACTGGGAAACTACCATAGTCTAGCCACTTTATACCAAAAGTGTGTCCAAAAGGAATTTGCAGTCCAAGCAACAGCATGATAGTATTTAAAAACAATTTTACACTTCTGAGTGAGTTCACGAAAGTCAAGTGTCCATCAAATGAAAAGTTGTCTTCCAGGGAATTGAAATGTTTTCAGTATGAAAATTGTGTAAAGAATTAATGGTAAATGGAAGGTTAATGAGTGAAAACTTCCTAATAAAACTATAACAATTTTAGCTTGGTCACCAAAGAAACATGCCATTTAGTGTTACCTCATGGCATATTAGACCCTTTCTGTTAACCAATTCTGGCTTCAATTGGTCTAACTGGGAACAGTACTTGTTCAAAACAAGTATTTACTACTCATGAAGGATGTCATAGTGCAATTAGAATGGTCCTTTACTATGTACACAGCTTCACTTTATTTATCTAAAGATCAGCCTTTGGTATGATCCATTTTGTATACCTTTCAGTCTCTTGCAAATTATACACTTCAGTACCTATCATAATTTATTTAAAAAACAGAACAGTTTCACACATTCAATCATTTACACTTCCTTCTCCATAAACTGCATGTATGTTTGGCATGACCTGAATTTTTACCTTTCTTAAAATAAAAAGCATAATAAAATGTTATTTTCTTCCATTCTTCAATGCTTGAATTAATAAAAAAAATAGGCCAATTAAAAAAATGTTTTAAAATGCATTGTGATATGAGAACTATTACAATAAAATAAAAAGGAATATTTTGAATTAAATGAATGAAAATTGAATGTTCCTAAATCATGTAATGACAAAGACAATGAACTTTTAGGTTACCTAATTGACATATCTTTTTGTCATCATTTCAGTTTGAAGACTATTGAATCTGAAAACCAGTTCAAGCAAATAGCACAACTAAAGACATACATTGGTGAATCAGAAAACATTCCAAAATCTGTGGAGATTCTGAAAACAGAGAACAACACTTTAAAAAATAAATTAAATGTAAGTAGTAAGATGTTACTTCATTGTTAATACTTTATTTCTATAGTAGATCTTTGAATCTTTAAATTTAAATTAGCAAATAATCACTATCTTAAAGCTTTTAAATTTCCAAACAGGATAACATTGAGAATTTAAATGACCTCTAAAGAATTTATCCATTTTTAGATTTTACCTAACTTATTTCAAATTGGTTCTGAGGCTATTCAATTTATTATTATTTTTTTAATCTTGTGATCTTATAGGTTTATAAGTTTTCATGTCAATAAGGGTTGCTAAATTAGGTACACCACCAATATCTAGCACATGTAATTCCAAAGCCTTGCTAGATTAACACTTTTGTTAGACCAACCAAAATAAATATTACAATAATAATTCTTACAGCATCACTAAATTCTGCTTAGTATTTTGACTATGTTTTATAGTTTTTCTAATGATCATCATTTCTCAAAATTACTCTGCACATAGAATTTCATTATTAAAATTACTATTGGACCAATCTCACATTGCACTTAGTTATTGCTTCCTTTACAAAGACGGAGACACTCTTCTTGTAAAACTACAAATATTTAGTAAAAATACTTGAAGAAGCATCTTGCTCATTTCTAATGACTTATCAACAAAGACAGCCTGGTTGAAAACTTTCATGTCAACCTTTTTTTAGATAATTATTAATGTGATACCACTTCTGATATATCTCACTTATAAATCACTTCCAGGATTGTATATAAGGAAAATTATTTAAGTTAACTTGTATAGTCTTTGGGAGAATCTCAAGTACCTTGTAAATTTGAAGTAAAATTGATGTTAAACCATCATAGAATATCTATAATTTATTGAACCATATGTTTATTTGCATTGTTTTTGTTATTGATATCAATTTTGAAAACTTATTTTACTTACATTTAAGTCCATTAATCATTTATAAAAGAGTTTTAAGTAGTGTTGTAAAATGTAAACACTAATTCCTATTAATCTACAGTTGAACAATAGAAAACTCCTAAGCAGTATAAATGGAAATGTGCTTAAGAGAAGTATTACTTTATTTCTGTTTACTTGACATTTGTTGCTTACTCAAATCATTACTCTCTCAAAGCTTTGGAAATTCAGGTACCAGAAAATCAGTGGCATCTTCAAGTAAGAAAGATTGGCTTAAAAAAGAGAGGTTGAGGTAATAAGAAAAATAGTTTTCTCTCTTCATTAGTGAGTTTGACTTGATGTACCATAATATTTCGGTTTTGTGGCAGACTAGGTAAGATTTAGTAAATGGAGTGCCTGTCATAAATCAGTTATTGAAAGCTAATTGTGTAAACTATTATTATTGTAGAGTTTGGTTATAGTAACAGACAGTATTCAACTGTACTGACTGACTAGAAGTCTGTTGGGTAAATTGGTAGGTGGTTTATATAACAGCCTGGGAGATTCCATTCTGTTACGGGCAAGTCTTTTCTGTAAGCTCTGATTGGCTGATGATTCCAGTGTGCTCAATAAATATCCAGCACAATATCCGCCCTGTGACTTTATTTAAGAGAGTAGTTAAAATTTCTTGTGTTTCACAAAAATGTATTAAATTACTAAGCCCGTGGTTACGTTGAAATTTTTCTTCCAGTCCAGCTCAAAGTCTGCCTTACGAACTGTTAAGTGTTATTTCAATTTTGTTGAAACTCTTGTTGAACTTTAGAATTTTTCAGTTTTCTTTTCTTTTATTTTGTGTGTACCTGTTTTCATTTGTTAATTATTTTTTTCCCTTTTAGTTTGTTTCCTTGTTTGTGTTGTTGACTCTTCTGTTTTCATTTCCATTTGTGTATTTATTGTTTGTTTATTAGATTTTATAAGCACATTAGACAAATGTTTATTTGTTCAGTTGTGGAGGTGTTTATGTCAGCTTGGCCAAAAATTTGGAGGCACAACCGGTGCCAAGGCAAAATACGTCATCACTGGAAAAAACGGCCTGGTATGAAAAGGGACCCAAAAAAGATGCTAAATATTATAATAGCCTAAGGGACAAATATGATGCATATATTAAAGGCAATGAGCTTCTGACTATACCAGAAGAAATGGATGCTGTAAAAACTAGAACTATCTCCCTGCTGACCACCAACGTAGGAACTTAGGAAAGATTATCAGGGTCAGCAGGGAAACAATGGAAGAAGCTCTGAAAAGCATTCATATAGGACCCAAGATTTTGGCCAGGAGGTCAAATGCCTAATGAGATCTTTTACTGTCAGCAGAAGAAGAAGCTAGAATGCTGGAAAGAAGTACCCTGACCACAAAATCAATCTGCTTCCAAACAGGATATATGGGGACAAGATTAACAAAGATCACCGTCCATGGAGACCTGGTGAACATCAGTGGAGATCGGCTGGGGAGGGGGGCCTTCTTTGCCCAATATGGCCAGGTAGAGGAGGTGAACACAACAGTCAACAAATTCGGAATTGCCACTGGTGATTTTGTTTTACAAGTCACTTTGACAAGGAAAAATTTTTCAGAGATTCCTAATATTCTGAGGTGTCGTGACAAAATGATGCCTATCGTAGTTGAGGACTGATGTCTCTACTGTTGGGCTTGTGGGGCTTTGGGACACATGTCCAAGGGTGTGTCCTGGCAAAAAAAAAACTCACTGCAGCCTAGCCCAGTAGTAGTAGCAGCAGAAAAAACTGATGTGTCTGGTAAAGATCTCGATGGTGTATGGAGGGAGTTGGCAAAAATGCGATGAAAATCGTCAAGCCCTACCCCTCAACAGGAGGCCTCACAGCAGTAACAACAACCCTAGAAGAGGCCAGAGCCTGAAAGGTTTTGTCACCCACTACCTCAGAGCCAAGAAAAGTTTCAAGAAAAGGAACAGCAACCCAAGCAAAAAACAGCAGCAGCATCAAGACTAACAACAGCAACAGTTGAAACCACAAAAACAGAAAAAGGAGCGGCAGCAACAAAAGCATGACCAACTAAATGACCAACTAGAACAACTGCAGGAACAACAACAACAGCAGAAACAGCAAGGGAGGACAGATTCCGACATGGAGTTGGATGAAACGCCCCCCGCCCCCAGTCCTCCTCGTTGAAGAGAAGGAGGAATAGGATGAGATGCCCATGAAAAAAGAAAAGTAGACTGCTCTATGAATTGTACTTGAGGTTGTCTCACATCTTTGTCCCTATTTTAACTGTTGTGTTCAACAACTGGTTCTGGCAGGGGTCCATCCCTGACTGGTTCATCAGGTATGTGATAACACTGTTGAAAAACTGCAAGGGTGTTGGGTGGGATTTAGATGACTATAGGCCCATAACTCTGCTAAACAGAGTTAAAGATTTTGGCCAAGATCCTGCAATAGTGTTTGCAGTCAGTTGCCAAGTCTCTGTTGGATCCTGTGTAGACTTGCGCTGTGAGGGGCCATTCAGAGCAACCTGCATCTGATCCACATGATCATAGAGGGTGTAAAAGATGATGATCAGGCAGCGTTGATCAATTTAGATCAGTCCAAGGCATTTGATAGTGTTGGCTATTGCTACTGTCCTGCAGGCTGTCAGATTTGTAAAAGTAGAAGTAAAGGTTGATGCGGCCAGTCAGACTTGGCATCGACAGCGGTTGTCCATGAAGGGCAGGGTGGAGGCATGTGTCACTTACGTCTTTCCAATTGTCCTTTATCACTTATCTGTACTTCCTCTCTGTAAAGACCATAAGAAGCCGCTTGAGCTATCCGGCATTTTATGGAGGGGATGCAAGCATCAAGTTGATAGAGAAGTCTGTGCACAACGTCTGTGTCATGTGGTGCTGGAAATGCCACACTAGGCGAGTCACAAACTCACCTCGAGGCTGGCTTTCCTATACTGTGCATTGATAGGAGATTCGATTATGGCAGGGATTGTGAGGGATGCCTTCCCTCGCCTTACTATCCGTGCCCCCATCTCGCGGGCTGAGTGCCGTTGTAAGCTCCGGGGTCAATCAGATTCCCTTTGCGAGTGTCAACAGACCTTGAAGATCATTCCTCAGTCCAGTGACCTTTCTCAGCCTAGGAGAATCTTCTATCATTATCAAGTGGAAGGGGCCTCGACGGATCCTCTATGTGAGTGGCTAGACTTGGAGGAGGAGTTTTGCTCTTTCTGGTCAGTAACCCTGAGTTTTCGCTTACCTGGCAACTGGTTCTGAATAGGCTGCCTCTCAATGACATGGCCTTCATATAGGGCTTGGCGGATTTGCCAGACTGTGAAAGATGTGACCTTGGCCTAGAAGAAATGGTTTCACACACCTTCTACCATTGTCCTCGGGTCTGCCCCTTATGGGACCATGTCAGCAAGCTGACAACATGTATTGCTCCTGAAAATCTCGTACTCATTGATCACATGTGACACTGTTTCTGGGGTGAAACGAATGGTGTTTCTAACGCTGCTGGCCATGGCCCGAATGGTGATTTGGATGATGCGACGTGAGGAAGTCTTGCGAGGCAACTGTTTTTCTCATCAGGATCTGATCTGATTCTTTGAGCATCAGCTCAAGATGAAGATTAGAACTGATAGAAAATGCGTGCATTCGACAGACTTTAGCAAAAGGTGGGTGACTGAGGTGAGCTTGGTTCCCCTGGTTAGGCTAGACAATCTTTGTGTACCTAATTAATGTGAGTAAGTATATCTTTGGTTATGATCAAAGTTGAGATTCCCAACCTCCCCACTTTGTTTTGCCACCCTTTCATTTTGACTGGGTCAGCTTTATTGATTCCCCATGCCTGTCTATATTTTCTCCTTTCCCTCTCCCTTAGCGAGAGAGCCTCTTGATTTTGTCCAATGGGCAGAATACAGCGGCCTCTCTTTTTTGAGGGTTGGACAGGTCCTACTAACATCAATTATGTTTATTTTACTTTGTTTTGATATTTAGTTTGTTCTGGGGTTCATTCTCTCCTCTCTCATTGTCCATCATTAGATTTTTGTATAATTTATTATCACCAAATTTTTATGTCATGGGGTGTGTTTTATAGGTCCCCCTGAGAGAATGCGGCATTATGGTGTATGGAGGATTGATTGGTGATGGACGAGTTTTTATAGTGAATGGGCAAATTGTAACGAGTGAATGGGTTGTGAATCAGATTAGCTAGGTATGTGAAGACCAGTCTCAACCCCTATCCCTTTTTGGCCTTGTGCCCTAATTGTATTTTTTATACAATAAATGTCGACTTTATTCAAGAGGGGCATGTATCGAGTTAGAACCCTGTTTTTTTTTGTCTGCCTGTTTTTCTGTGTTTTTCATGAGGGAATTAGCCTCCTGCCATGGTGTTAGGTGCCCCAGGAAAAAGAGCCATTGGCCAGTACCTCAACAGCATTGTCAGCATGGGGGGCGGAAAGGCCCCAAAAAGGAACTACCTATTACAAGAGCCTGAGAGAGGAATATAATACATTCATCTAAGGTTATGAACTTTTGCCTGTGCCTTCGGTTATGGAGGCAGTTCCAACAAGGACTACCTCCCTGTTGACAACTGATGTCAAAACCCACAAGTTTATTGCTGTCAGCAGGGAGTTGATGGAGGAGGCCCTCAAGGCCCTGAACATTGGGGAACTATTGGGGCCAAGGCTACAAAAAGCTATGTGGGACATCCTGCTGGCTACAGAAGAGGCTACAAAAGCATTAACTGGCAGTGTCCTCACCTCAAAGACCCTGAGATTGCAAACAGAATACATGGGCAAGACCCAAATTACTTTATATGGGGTGCCCATGTACACCTCTGAGGACTATCTTGGGGCCTTTTTCTCTGATTATGGCCCGGTGGAGTGGGTATCTCCCATCAGAAGCAAGGCAGGCATTGCCACCAGTGACTATGAAGTCATGGTGACATTGACCTGCCCCAAATTCAACGAGATCCCAGTGGAGAGTGGATTGAGGTGGTGAAAAAAGGAGTGGAGACAACAACTCTGCCTCCCCAGCAGGATGTCCCAGAAAAAGGAGCTGCCAAGAAACAGCAGCTGCCTAAGCAGCAACAACAACAGGAGCCATAGCAGCAGCAACAGCCTGAGAAGGAGCAGCAACAGTGGAAATCACTGGAGAAGCTGCAACAACAGAAGTAACAGGAGCAGCTTAAGCAACAGCAGTGGACAGAGCAGCAACCGGAGCAGGAGCTCCAGGAAAAAACACAGCAACAGACACAGGAGGATTTACCACAATTAGATCTGTTCATTGAGGTGAAGGAAGTGCCTCCATCACAATCCTCCTCACTGAAAAGAGGGAGGGATGACGAGGAGGAGGATGATTCAAAATGCACCAAAAGGGAGTTCTGGTTGGAGTAGGGTGGAGAAGGCCCTGGTAGCTGCCAAGACCCAATCCATCCCTAACTTCACCGGAAAGAATCGACAGGCAGCATCACCACCAAGGTAAGGCAAGGAGCCTCCCTTCCTCTCTTTCTAGACATTCTCCCTCTCCCTCCCCTAACCCTACTCAAGACAGAGAAGAAAAGAGGAAAAAAAGAATAAAACTGTTCCCAGAGGGGAAAAACCGTGTGATAAATAGGCAGGCCCTCGAGAGTGATCTTTCTTCTCAAAGGAAGGCCCTCTTGAGGCCACTCTTTAAATGTACAACCATAGACAGGAAGTCCACAGCAGACCCCCGAAATTTCCTGAAGGTGCCTGGAGTGATTACTCTTGTAAGGAATACGGGTAGCAAGATGTGGGAATACCTGGCAGAGGCAAAAAGCGCCTTCCCAAATATCATTATGGTTATATTAGTCACTAGAACTGAAAAAAATGTCCAATTTTTGCTCTGGGAGGGTCCCGGTTTTGCTCCACCTCTCCTTATATAGGACTATTAAATTAACCTCCCCAACAGATGTCGGTGGGATTGTTTCAGATAGTCGAATTACAACCAATATTGGTACCGGTAGTATGAGACAACCCATTGGAGTCCCGACTGCCAGAGATTTCCATCCGGTCTGTGTCTAAGGGACTCCAACTTTAAAAATGTCTATTAAGCTTGAGAGATCGGAGTAAGACAGCCTGCCTGCTTCGTGATTTCTTGTCATATGGTGATGTGGCCGCAATCCAGGAGACACACTTTGTTTGCGACGTTGATGCCTGTGTGCTGTCTAATGATTTTGTCATCTAATTCAGCGTACGGGGACTGGCAGGCCAGAGGGGTTTCCTTGTTAGTCAAGCTTTCCCTGGGGGCGAGGGTGGACCGTGTCCATGTGGACAGAGAGGGCCGGTTGGTCATGGCTGATATTGCCGTGGACAGTGCTTTGTTTTGGGTTGTTGCAGTTTATGCGCCCAACGATCATGGGGAGCGTGTCGACTTTTTCCGTCAGTTGGGGCCGTTCCTGGTGGATTCTTTGCACTTACTCTTAATGGGGGACTGGAATGCCATCCAGGACCCCAAAATAGACAGGGGGTGGGGTGCTAGCAGGAAGACAACGGTTGATCGTAACTTGGTTGATCTGATTGGTGAGTTTGGGCTCATCAATAGATACTGGGTCTTTCATCAGGAGCGGGAGATGTGGACCTATGCAGAATAGACATTTTCCCTGGTAGAGTTTAAGCCAGAGTTTCAGTGTATGCCGATGACATATCCATTTTTGTGTCATGCTGTTGCGACATTGAGGTGGTACAGAAGGCACTTGCATGGTATGAGAAGGTGACAGAGGCCAAAATTAAACGTAAAAAGTCTTCTGGTTTGCGGTTAGGTGCCTGGAAAGAGGTCTCGCTTCTGAGGCCCTTTGGTTGGACTGACAAACCTGTCCGCATTCTTGGAGTGTGGTTTGGGCCTGGACTCCAGCTGAAGAAGAATTGGCCAGAAGTACAAGCAAAGGTTGGAGCATCAGGGATAGGGCTGAGGCATGTGCCACTTATGTTTTGCCCCTTATCCTTTACCGCTTTGCTGTACTTCCTCTTTGCAGGACCCATGTGTAGGTGATCGATTGTTTGTTGACCAACCTCTTGTGGGGTGGTCACAAACATTGGGTCTGTAAAGAAGACTGTTAACAGTGTTTTTGTCATGGGGGATGGGATTGCCACACCTGGTGAATCATCACCATGCCTCTAGGTTGGCTTTCCTATGCCGCGTTTTGACGAAGGACTCACTACCATCACCCATCATTCCTCCCATGTTTTGGGGTAAGCGCTGTTGCAGTTATGGAAAGTTGTCGAGTTTCCGCAGTGAGTGTTGGTCGGCCTTGAAGGTCATTCCTTGGTCCAGTGACCTTTCTTGGTGTCAGAGACTATTGTATCATGAATTAGTGGAGGGGGTCACAAAGGATCGTTTGTGTGACTGGCTTGACTTGTCGGCATCAGAGTTATGCTCCTTGTGGTTCTGGTTGCCGCTGCCACCCAAAAGGAGCACTACTCAGTAACTCAGTTTTTGTTAAGTTGTGCATGCCTTCTACCATTGTTCTCAGGTGCGCCCCTTCTGGGAATATGTTGGTGAGTTGATGACTCGTATTGCTCCTGAGCAGCTTGTGTCCATTGATCTTGTGTGTGATAATGTGTCACCCTGTTCTCCAGGGTAAAATGGATGATGCTTTTCACATTGCTAGCCATAACTAGAATGGTGGTGTGGATGTCACGAAAGGAGGGAATCTTGTGAAATGAATATTATTTGTATCAGGATCTGGTTGTTTTCTTTAAGCACCAGTTGAGGGTAAAAATCAGACCTGATCATAAGCATTTGATTTCAACAGATTTCAGCGAAAGGTGGATGACTGAGGAGAGCCTGGTTCGTGTGGATGGGGCTAGCCTTGATTTTCTCTTCTATGTTCCCTTGATACAATGGAATGGTTTCCTGTGAACCCTCTCCTGGTTAAGTTAATGCTATTTTGTTTTCCTAGTTAATGAGCATGAGTTTTGTTCTCAGCCTGTTCCCGGCACTTTCTTTTGTTATGAACCATGTTGCGATTCCCAATCTCCTCAGTTGTTGTTGTTCCCGTTTCTATCTTGGCTGAGTCAGTCTTTGATTTCCCCATTCCGTCATTTATTTTATCCTACACATTCCATTAGTGAGTGTGCTGCTTCATTCTGTTTAGTGGCAGAATACAGTGGCCTCTCTTAGTATTTTGAGGGGTGGACAGTTTCTACTAACATTGTTTTGTTTTAGTTGTATCTTTTGTTTAATTTTTGAGTTTGTTTTTGGGGTTCATCTCCCCTTCCCCATCATTTCATGAATCATGAAATTTTTATTTATTTATATTTATGGGCTTTTAAATTTTTATGTCATGGGGTGTTTTGTAGGTTCCCCTGCAAGTATGTGGTATTTTGGTGTATACAGTATTGGAGGTGATGGATAAATTCTTGTCATAAATGTGTAAATTATAATGAATGAATGGGTTGCTAATCAGATTGACTAGGACAGCTAAGGAAGACCAGCCCCTCCCTTGTCCTCCCTTTGGCCTTGTGCCACAATTTTTTATTTTCATATGAAATAAATAACTGTATTGAGTTACAACCCTGTTTATTTTTGTCAGCCAGCTGGATGCTAATTGGAAACCTCCTTGTGAAGGTGAACCTCAGACTCTTGATTGTTCCGAATTTGATTTCTTTTAAGTGCTCTACTGTTGTTTCTTAAGTAGACTTGGCTCAATGAATATGTACATAATAGCTTCATAATTGTTACATTGATGTATGTAGCAAAGAAAAAACTGTTGTTATGACTAACAAAATCAACACTTTAGCTCCTTGCCACCTCCATTCATTTCAAGTTAGTTATTGATATTATTTTTGATGGCTCTGAATATTCTAACAAATTGTTTCTTGCATATTCCAACAAATTGTTTATTTCAGGTTTGTATTGCTGAGAAAGAGCATCTTCAGTCAAATATTGAGCTTCTAGATATCCGTCTATCATCTATTACTGAAATTTTGAACTTACAAGAGGCTGAACTATCACAGGTAACCTGAAGTATTTCATTTCTTTTTATCACTTTTCTGTTGATTCATATTGGAAGAGAAGACCTATAAGGTTATGTTTGCTATTGAAGCATTAGTTTACTAACTACTTTTTCTTTTGGTAATCATTTCAACCAAAAACTGCTATAATTTGGTGAAAGCAAAAAAGACAAACAAAAAAAACAAAGCCTCAAAATATTTGTTATCCAGATGCATAGAGCAAGAACATGTAGTTGGCATATGCTTATGTTCAGTTTCAGTGGCTAGAAGTGACCTGGTCACAATTGATTTTATTTATATCCTCCTTAGTACCACAACTTTACAAATTCAAGTTCAGTACTAGATTGGTCTAATCATTTTACAGTTGAAATTTCTTCTTGTCTTGCACTTTTCACTTGTGGAACTCACTTCTGGCTTTTTGCATTCCAGTCAACTTTGATCTTCAAAAATTTAAATGCAATGTCGATTGTTATCTTCTGTTTTCTTAATTCCTATTCTTTTATTGTTCTCACTCCTTAACAATGTTTTTCTTTTTCCCATATTCTTTCATGCTCAGCAAACCCCTGCATCTTAGTGGCTTCATTGTCTTGCTTAGGTTGAAATGATTACCAAAAGAAAAAGTACCTATAGTACTTTTATCAACCATATTTATTATGATCACTGGAACATTACCCACTTTGCTTTCTTTAACCAAAGCTTCCAATATAGTGACTTCCTCACCTTCAGGATGAAAACATGCTTTTAAAAAATAAAATTAAAATCACCAAACAAAGATGTTTACAGATGAATGGAGAGAGAGAGAGAGTGAGAGAGAGAGAGAGATTTCTATGAGAACCATTCAAAAAGTTCTAAGCCTCACCCTATAGAGCTATATCAACACACTACCAATTTTTATAAAATTAGAAAAACTAATTCAGATTTCTGTCTTAATGTCTGCAGGTGAGGCCCATACAAAGGTAAGAGCTGTGTGACAAATCTAAAAATGGATAAAACAGAGGCCGTAGCAGTCATAAAGTATCTGCAAAAGAAAGGTATAACACCCAAGGAAATCCATGGGGACATGGTACAGGCACTTGCTGAGGACTCACTTTCTTATGCAACTGTAAAGAAGTGAGCTGTGGAATTCAAGTGGGGCAGAGACAGCACAGAAGATGACACTTGATCAGGTCTTTCACAAACCTCAACCACTGATGAACAAGTTGATGCATTTCACAGTATGGTTATTCTTCAGCAGATAGCTAAGTCCATCGGCATTAGTTCTGGTTTGGTTCATACTGTTTTAACTGAGATCTTGGGAATGAGCAAGCTGTCTGTAAGATGGATCCCAAGAATACTGACACCAAAGCAGAAGCTGAAAAGGGTTAGCATTTTCAGGACACTTCTGACTTGCTTCCAAGCTAACTCTGAGTATTCCCAATGCAGATTAGTAACTCAAGATGAAACCTGGGTTAATCACTTTGAACCTGAACCAAAGATTCAAATCAAACAGTGGGAATACTCTAATTCTCCACCTCCAAAGAAGTTCAAGCAAGCAGTGTCTGTTGTCAAGGTGATTGCTTCTTTTTTTTTTTATTCTGAAAAATCATAATAGACTACCTGGAAAAGGGAAAAACTATTAACAGACAGTACTATGAATCATAATTAAGACAACTGAAGGAAGCAATCAAGTTGAAATGCAGAGGGAAACTGGGGGCAGGTGTGCTATTGTTCTAGGAAAATATGCCCATTGATGCTGCTCAGGTTGCAGTAGCTGAAGCAAACAAATGTGGCTTTGAACTGCTATTCCATCTCACTTACCAAACTTAGCTCCATCTGAATTCTTCCTGTTTCCTGAGCTGAAATCCTCCCTGCATGGTTGCCATTTTGAAAACAATGAGAAGATCATATGTGTTGTAGATTTTTTTTTTTGGAGGACCAGGATGCCACCTTCTTCTGTGATAGGATTGCAATACTTAAGCAATAATGGAGCATGTCAAGAGGGACTATATTGAAAAATAGTGAAAAACTGTACTGTTCTCCTACTCCTTCTGGGTGAGGCTTAGAATCTTTTGAATGACCCTCGTTTACTGTGAGATATTTTATCTAATATGTTACGGACCTGAGAATAACTAAGAGCTAACAGAGTGCAATAAAGAAAGTCAAAAGCTCATGAAAGAATTATTTGGTTATGCAAACATCAAGGCCAAGCATATGTATCCTAGAATCTTTTTGACAAAGTGGTAGATAGCCTAGAACATTGGTAGTGATAAGAGTTTAAATTAGTTATATGGAGAACATTTCAAGAGAAAAGATTTTTTACTACAGAAATTGGTATGAATCCTGCAAATATTGGAGAAAGAAAGCTTGAGTGGGGTAGTTATTTTTACTTGTTTTTGTTTTAATTGTAACTGTCAAAAGAAGATTATTTTAATTTTTAAGGAGGAGAAGGCCAAAATAATTATCACTGTTCTTTCTCTATGGCAATACAAACCAACCTGAATATGGCTAAGACATGATGTGGCTTCAAGGTTACCAAAAGCAATGCTGGTTGTGGACCAAGAAAAACATGCATGTGGAGACGATTGGTGGCAGAATGTGGGCATGCTATAGTGTTGCACAAACAGTGGCAATTCAGCCAAGGTTGAAATCTTTGTGGTCTGTGAAAAACTGCTACAGTTTGACTTACTGCTGGAATTGATGCAATAACTGCACTAGGGGGCATCAGTATATCATGCAGACTGTAGCTGTATAGTTCTGCAGCAAAGAAACACCAACATATGTGGCAGTCCATAAAAATGGAAGTGGACAGCAGTTAGGAGAGCGATGTTGGCATACACTGATGATGTGTATATCAATGAGAGCATTGTGTCTGCAGAACATGTTAGGGCAAAATGGACTGGAAGTCTGGGGGAATGTAACACTGTGATTGACATGGGGAAGCATGACCCCAGATGTAACTGATGTCATGATAAGCAGAATGTCTTCTCACTGTGTAGGAAGCTGGTGGAACATCTCCATGTATGTGGATGGCTGTGTGTGGCAACCAGGTTCATCAAGTGGAAAAAGAGGCCCTAAATCATGTGCAAACATGTCTGTCAAAACCAGTTACATCTAGGTTTTCTCTGTTAGCAGCACAACAGTTTAGCATGTCTGGATATAGGCCTATCTTGTTCAGATCTGGGTTTCTGTCGACTGTTTTCTATCAGTAAAATTGATGGGAAAACCAGCAGGCAAGCCTTCATGTCTTGTGAAGTCATTCCCTTGGATATTTGTTCCTCAAGTTGCATGACACCTGCTGTGCTGCGGTTTCTGAGGCAGTCTTATTTTGTTTCCTCCTGTCTCTTTCCCTTCCCTTCCAGTTACCCTGTAATTTCTTGGGAAATACAGGTGTTTCTACCAACTTCAACACATCCTTGCCATATTTTACAACATGCATGGATACCTATCTATGCATGATATAGCACTGCAAATACCCTGATATTATGTGACTGTTGACCAGTGCAGCCTTTCGAAGTGATAACAAAGAGTTAAAAACTGGTGGTAGTATTTAATATTCTATAAATTCAGTGCAATTACAAACATATCCATTTATTTGGGAACTAAAAATAATTTAAGATAGAAATAAATTATAGTTTTATTTGTAAATCTTAATATAACAGGAAATTTTATTTCATAAAAGAAATCAGACAATTTACTATAAATTATGAAAATAAGATAAAATTGCTGACTCAATTCTTTTTAGTATAACTTGTTTTTTTTTTATATACACAATATAGGGCATTTATAATGATTGGTTGCAATGTTGCATGCTGAAAAGTTGTATTATTACTAGTGAAACCAAATTAAAGAAATTTTTATACATATTTCAGGGGAAGTAATCGTGATAATTTCTATTTGTGGATGTTTTTTAAATGACTCTGCACAAAGAATTTAGGAACAAATGCAGGCAGGCCAAAGAGGAATGACTCAATAAAAAATATTCAGAAATAGAAAGAATTAATATCATGGATAAAGCAGATATGCATAAAAAAAAGAGAACTAACTGGATAAAAAACATGCTCATCAACAGTCTGCATAAAATCCAAGGATGGCACATTGATATTAGAAAAAGAAAAAATACTTCAGAGATGGAACAAATACATTAATTTCAAGAAGACAGAATGCACGGTTGCTAGTAAAAGGAAATTATAAGTTTGAGATACCGAAATCAAAGAAGTACTACAATTTAAATATCTGAGAAATGTTTTAACAGAGGACACTGAAATCTAAAGGCATATTGGGATAGTAAAAGATGCTTTTCAAAAGTTAAGCAAAGTATTAAGAAACAGGATAATTTCATTAGAAACAAAGAAAAGAGTACTGAATTGTTATGTAATATTAGATATGCCTATATGGCAGTGAATGCTGAACAATCACCTCACAGATGAAGAAGAATTGAAGCAATAGAAATGTAGTTCTACAGAAGGATGCTGAGAATACTATGGACCAAATATGTGAGCAACAACAAAGTTTTCGAGAAAACAGAAACCAAACGGACACTTATACTTAACATCAGGAAGAGAGTTAAAATTTTTTAGGCACATAAAGAGGACTTGGAAAATCTGATACTCACAGGACAGATTAAAGGCAAAAGAGACAAAGGAAAACAATGCATAACTTACCTAGTGAGCTTGAGTATATGGATAGCGGAACAAGATTTAGGAGAAATAACAAAAATACAAAATTTTTTAAGAGCTACAAAGGACAGGAAATTGTGGAGAGCTATGATTGCCAACATCTAGAAGGACATGGCACATAGAAAAAGAAGGAAATTGTTTTTTCAAAATTTTTGTGAACATATTTTAATACATTTTGTATATTTTACAGGATAAACATGGTGACCCAAATAAAGACAAGCAAGAAAATGCTCTTCTTAAAAGGTGAACCATTTATAATTTTGATTAATCGTTGTAAATTTTGTACTTGTTAAACTACAAAAAAATAAAGATTTGCATGTTAAAATTTTCTTTAAGGTGATGTGGCTTTGGTAATTCTACTATGTAATTTCTTTTTTTTGATTCCTTTATTTTAATATTGGTTTAAAACCACAAAACATCTCTTACCAAGCGGTATGCTTCTGTAGTGGACCTCCCTGGAAGGAAGCATGATGTGAAATGGCTTGAGCACCCCAGATCAGCATGAGGTCACAAGAGGTCCACTAACATTTTTAAATTAATCTGACAGGTGAAACAAAATGGACAACAAAAACGAGGATATTTAAGATTAATACAAAATTTATTTACAATGCAGACCTGAGTGGCCGCAAGTTAGATGATCTGGTAATTGAAGGCTTTTCGGACTGGGTGTGTTGATAACGGGAAGTTGAGGTGCAGTTGTGTTGTCTATGGGAAGTTGAGGTGCTGCCAATTCAGATGTGTTGACGATGGGAAGTTGAGGTGCGGCTGATCCGGACATGTCAAGAGTCAGACAGGATGTTGATGTGCGGGCATTTTGATAGTTGGACTGGTCATGTTGACAACAGGATGTTGATGTTTGAGCATTCTGGTTGTGTTGATGGTTGAACTGGACTGTCAACAACAGAATGTTTGGGCATTCTGGTCATATTGATGATTTGGACTGGACAGGAAGGTATTGGCGATGTGAAGCTGGTCAGTGCCGAACAGGAGCATTATTGGTTGTGAGGAACGAGAAGACTTACCTCCCGCAAAGTGAATTTGCATGGCATGTCAGGTCTTGTTGCAAGATCGCAACCTGCGTTAAAAGCGAAAATGAATTATTCCGAAACTTACATCGTGGGCAGGCGTACAACGAAAAATAAAAAAGACTAAAAATTCAAACCAGCGTAAATTTATAAGATCAGAATTCTCGAGTGAACGAGAAGTAAGTCACATATGCAAATGTTAGTTGCCCCTGATGTAGGCATAAATAGTGAGTCTTTGAGGAAGACGGGACAGAACAGAATGCATTGTTGGCGTGACGTACTAATGAGAATGAGAGAATAGGAGGTCATTAGCAACAGCTCAGTTGGTAGACTGGACGACTGGATGAAAGCAAGCACTTTAATCTATTTCAGTCATTGCAAACGACGGACGAACTGAATTACCCACATTGGTGATGGTAGCTGGTCAGGGCCAGGCATGAACGGGAAGCTGGCATTGTGACGTTGTCGGTCAGATCCACTGTCTAGTGCTGGTCAAGTCTGATGTCAAAACCTCACATAGCATTCAAAGTGTCCTATCCCATTCCTCATGCTTTAGTATAATTTAGGATTTCTATTCACATTTGTTGTATGCATGAAAATAATGCATGACTATTTTTAATTATGTATTAATACTTCCAAATATTTTTATAATAAAAAATATTGGGAGAAACTGTGTTAAAAAATAAAAGAGAAATACATCTCTTAAACTTTCCTTGTTTTTCAGGAACATACTTAATTTATTCATTTTTCAATATACATCTATATATATTTCAGGTGGAGAGAAAAGGTGTTTGCACTTCTTGTTCAACAGAAATCTGCCACAGTTGTTTCAAAAAAGGATGAAAATAAGTGGAAACAAAAGGTTAATGTTTGTGGTTTTGTAAATTCTATATAGCAGAATACATAAAATGATATTCATTTAAAATTCCTTTCATCAATAAAAGATGTAAAAATGTAGTAACAGTAAATAACATGAAAGAAGAAAATTCATGTACAATTCTTGCATCTTTCTATTCTGACTTAAAAAGAGTCTTACCTATATCACTACTATATATAAAAATATTCTTTATACTCTGAAGTTTTGCTGGATTAATAGTTGTCTTGAACAAGATAAAATAAATGTTAATTCAATACATTTTTAACCCACCATACCAAAATCAATTCTGCTTAGAACTTTTACTGTTTTTCATAGTTTTCTCATAGTCATTTGCTCCTTAAAATCACATAAAATTACATAGAAATTAAAATTAAAATGGCTTTCTTACATCAATCAACTGCTGTTGTTAGAATAAGCCAAAAAATACTGTTTCCTCGGTAGATTTCACACATTCTTACAAAGCCAGTATATCAGTCAATGTACAACATGAATGCTCAAAAACAGCTTTCTCTTTGTTCAGTAGTGGATGATAACTGTGTACTTGACCCCACAACTGACACTTTATATAGAACACTTCCAGGACTTTACATATATGTAAAATAAAGTAAAAATCTTATGAAATTAATATATCAATATATGAAATTATGATAGTAACTAATGCAAATTAATTGGTATATAAACTTTAAAAAAAAAGTTAAATTAAAAATTACCAGCATCTCGTTCGTAGGCATGTGTAGTTACACCAACATAAATAAACTTAATCCAATGAAATGTGTCACCCAATTAACTTTTTCTGTATTGTCTTGCATCTTTCCTCCAAAATTAATTGTTCTTGATATATAAAAATTTATATATTGTTATCCCATATAAACTTAAGTAATATTCTTCACTTAAAGTATTTTTAGATGAAACTCAACAATATTTTTTAGTTTATTTTATACAAAATGCTGCAAGTGGTTTTTGAAGAAAAAGCAACCACCTTTTATGAAGTATATTTTTTTAATTTGCAGATGTCCAATATACAGAATCATAAGGAATCAGCTGAAAACCAGATCCAAATTCTCTGTCATTCTCTTTCAGACAAACAGGCACAACTGGATATTTCAAACAATAACAGCAATGTAATAATTCTTTTTATTTGTAACTAAAACTGATGCATAATATCTTATGTATTGTATGGCATTAAACAACTAGATGTGAGAGTGTGTGTGTGAACATGTACATTTTCTTATAAAATGTATTGCTGGTCAATTTCCTTTTTTTGGCTCATGTCTTTTTAATACAAAAGATACTGAACTAGTGATTAAGTATCTATATTTGTGAAATACTCCATATATTTTAAAGCTTTTATTGAATTATTTCTCTTTTATTCAAGAACGCTATTAATACAACCATTAGTTTTATTTATAAATCTGAGCTTCAAAATATATCCTAATATCTTTATGGAACAATTTTCAGGACTTGAGAATTAAAAACATTTATATAGCAATGTGAATAAATCATTATAAATTATATTAGTATTATTAATTTAATAAACAATAATTTATTAGTTGCACTATATAGCATTATTCTTCTCTGTTCTGCATCTCTTCAGGACATGGGCGATCATGGCTCTCCAAAACTCCCTGTTTCTTGTGGCCCTTAGCAGTTTTTCTCCTTTTGCTAAGGCTTCCCCCATCCACCTTCCATTCACACAAGCTCATCAGTGGCTTGCTGCCTTTTCCTATCTCTCTTGCCTGTTAGGGTTAAGTTTACCAAGTCATCCTTCCTCGTTGTGTCCAAGAAATTTCAGTTATCTCTTCTTAATTCTGAGTATAAGTGTTCTTTCTGTTGCCGTTTTCTTTAAGTTTCCATTATTGCTTACTCACTCTGTCCATGGACTTCTCAGTATCCTTCTGTAGAACCACATTTCTGTTGCCTCCGTGCAAAGATTGTCCAGTATTCTCTGCCATATAAGAGGATGGATATTCCATAACAGTCCAGCTGTTTTTTTTTTGTTGTTTCTAATGAAACATTTCTGTTTCTCAGCATTTTGCTTAGCTTTTGGAAGGCATCTTTCACACGTCCAATTCATGTTTGGATTTCAGTGTTGCATTTTCCATCCTCTGTTAAAACGCTTTCCAGATATTTAAACTGTTGACATCTCCAATTTTTAACTCGCAACTTGGGATTTTTCTCTTGCTGATGACCATACTTTCTCTCTTCTTGCAATTGATGGTTAGTCCTTTTTTCTAAGTTTATTTTACTATACTGTTCCTCTAGTTTTCCTTCTAAGTCTGCCATCAACACATTGTCATCTGCGTATCTTATATTGTTAAGATTGCACCCACTGATAATAAATCCTGGTAGTGTCTTGTGTTCAGATCTCTGAGGTTAGCCTTGCTGCAGAGGTTGGATAAATCTGGGGAGAAGAAACATCATTGTCTTATAGCCTTTTCATTTAGTATCTGCATGCAGGAAGTTTGCTCTCAGAATAAGTTCTGGATTATTCTAAATTCTTTTCCAAATCCAGTTTTCCTAGCAGTTCAAATAGATCCAGTTCTTTATTCTGTCAAATGCATTTGCATAATCTATAAAACATAAGTGCACATTTTTTTGCATTTGTATTGCTCTCTGATAAAATTCCAATCATGAATATCACATTTCTTGTTCCAGTGTCCTTGACAAAGCCACACTGTTCTTGTTCTATTTCTGGTTTAATTCTGCTTTACACTCTATTCATTAGGATTTGCATCATTAGTTTGGTTATATGGCTCATTAAACCAATTGTCTGATGGAGCTCACATTCATTTGCACCTGGTTTCTTAGTTAATATTACAAAGATTTAGTGAGGTCCTCTGGTATGTTACCACTGTTGTATATTTTGTTTATTACTTCTGTGATCTTGTTGATGCCAAAATAATCAAAGGCTGAGCATTACTGGTCCTCTTGCCTTGTTCCTGTCCATCTTTTTCAGTACTGATCTTACCTAGTGTTTCGTTCAGCATGTTCTGCTCTGATTTTGTAATCTCGTTCTGGTCATATTTGTTTATAACTCTGTTTTTGTATGTCGTGTCATAGTTTAGACATTGATTCCAGAGTTTCACTCTAATACACAACTAGAAGATGGTTATTTTTGCATTTGCTACTTGGGTATGTTTTGTAGTGCAGGACTTCTGAAAACTTTTGTTGATTGTTACATAATCAATCTGGTTCTTTCTGTCTCCTCATAGACTTCTCAGTGTCCACAGGCACTGGAGCCAGATGTTGGTAATTATTTGAATGTTTTCTGTGCACCAATGGACCCATATTTCACTGTGCTTGTCTTGCAATCTTAATCCATCCATGATAATAGTAATTTATTGTGATTTACATAGGGCCTTGGTGTTGTCCAGAAAGTTGTAAAAGTTACTGATTTTTTTCCTCCATCCTCTGACAGAATTCTGTGTGAGATTTCGCAGTATCCCAGAAAACATTTCCTCATGTTATTGTCTAATATTGACCCTACACTTTTTAAATTTTTCTCTCCAACTGCACGTATTATTCTGTGTGTTGCCTTGCCCACCTAGTTTCACAACATTTAATCTATTCATCTCTTACTTGATGTTTTCAAACTGGTCACATGGGTATAGCATCCTTATGTTCCAGGTCCAGATTATTATTTTTAAAAATGCTCACTTTTTTCCGTTTTTTTCTTTTTATCCTAGATACTGCAAAGTGATTTATTGGCAACCCAACAACAACTGGATTTACTGAGCCACCAATCAACAAAGGACCAAAAAATGATGTTGGCTTTGAAAAATTTTACTTTAAGGTCAGTATTATCAAATATTATTTTATATATCTTTTTCTTATCACCAAGTTGTTATTTGAAGAATTCTGTTCCCCTGTAGTAGAGTGTCATTTGTACATATTTATTAAACCTACTGTTTAAAAAATATGTACATATAAGAATATTATATGTACAATTGTATCATCAGTTTTAGGCTTCCAGTGTTCTTAAATTTTGAGTGGTACAAGTAATTTTCTATTTGAATTTTCAGATGTACTTTCCAACTATTATGAATTTGTTTGTTACTAAGGCTGTTGTACTTGATACATTGACACTATTTACATTGTTTGGACTATCGTCCTCATCCTTGTTGCCATATTTATCACAATGTTTCGGCCGTTGTATGCTCCCGCATTCTTTAGGTGGTTGGAATGTCAAACTGAACCCTTTAAGAAGAAGGCCTGAGCATACAAAGGCCAAAACATGATAAATATGGCAACAAGGATAAGGACGATAGTCTGAACAATGTAAATAGTGTACATAATACCTCATCTCAGAAATATAGACAGATATTGATACATTGAATTGCTGAGTTTGTCACTCATTCTTGACATTGACTTAATCACAATGTTATGGTTGTTGGTAGCTGATGAATAAATCTATTATTATCTTGATGGTCATATAATTCATATAGAAGCTGGTGGGAAGCAATAAATGTACTGTCAATGTCTTGTACTTCAAAATCACAAGAATTGTCATATTTAAAAGAGGGTTATTATTAGTCAATCTGAAAGTGCAATGAGCCAGCATCAAATAACATTGAAATTGGGAATTTCATATGCAGGGATGAAATTTTAAAAAGCTTTTAGGAGTATGTCCAAATCAACTCAATCATGCATTTTTATCATATGTGTTATAGCATTTCCCAGATGAAAACCATTTTTTAAACCAGACAAAAAAGTAGTAAACAATTTGGATGATGAACAGAGTTTTTGCATACTGCCATTTCAGATCTATTGTTATTTGCTCAGTTTTTGAACAAAAGATTTCTCAAAGACTTGTTTGAACAGCTTACAATACATAATTAAAGATAGTATAGTTTTTTGTTGTAGTACAGAGTAATTTGGAGCAATGTTCAATGTTTCTGAAGTATATGAGGAATATCAATCCAGAAAAATAAATAGGATGTCATCTTTGTGTTGCTTCAGCTTTTCCAGTCTCATATAGTTTATCTTTCCACCCTAATTCCAATGGAACATGATTTCAGAGAGGGATTTGTTCTAAAAGAGGAAAATTATTTTCTAGTAGAACAACAATTCAGAAAAAAAAATTGTTATTAAAAAAAATGTTCAAATTAACTACGCCAGAGCTGTTACAAATTTACAAATCCTGGAAATTGGTAGAAATGGTCACAGAGATTTCAACACTTCTGTGAAGCATCAAAACTATGGGAAGAAGATAAGTCAGTACATTCACATGGGAAGTGAAACCAAAAATATATTCTATATATTTTTTTTTCCTTATGAGAAGGCAAAAATGTGTATGACTCAGTTTTGGAAAAATTCAATGCCTACTTAATGCCTAAAAAAACAATACATGAAAGGGCAAAATTTTATTTTAAGAGTTCAATTACTAACTAGTGGAAACCTTTATTTGTACATTGCTTGAATTAGCAGAAGTATGCGAGCTTCCAAAGAAAAAATGACAAAATCAGAGACAGTTTCATGATAGGTCCTTATTCTGTAGTCCTATCTGAAAGATTACAGCTAATTCCTGATCTGAGTCTTGAGAAAGCTACAGAGATGCCTAGGAGCAGTGGGCAAGTAAAATCTCAAATGGAAGAAATACATGAGAAAAATGAAGATAAACTACAGACCCAGAGAAATGAGATATGGCAAGAACAAAAAGCAGAAAAAATAGCAACAACTGCAGTTGATGTAACAGGAAACATGATTTTAGAAATTGCCCATTGAAAGGAAAACTGCGCAATCACTTTGCTATAGCCTGCAGAACCAAAACTAATATGATACAGACAATAAATGAAAAAGAAAATGAATGTTTCCTAGGAGAGCTAGAAGAAACAAATTTAAATGACCTGTGGTACAAAAATTTTAAAATTTGTGAAATAATGGTGAAGTTTAAAATTGACACAGGTGTTGACATAAATATTATCTCACTGAAACCTACAAAGATATGAGGGAAAAACATTTTTTAAAACCATTAGATGGCACCTTCACAAATCCTGGAGGAACAGTCCAATGCATTGGTAAATTCACTGTTACTACAGAAAAAGATAAGGACAAACATAATTTGGAAATATATGTCATTAAATGTGTAAAGTGAGAGAACTTATTGTCTAGGTAAAGTGCTAAAATAATGAATTTAGTGAAATCCTTAGATAAAATACAACATGAGATTTCATTTGACACCAGTGGTTGTATGAATGGAAATCCAGTTAAAATAGTTCTGAAAGAGGATCCTATAGTCTATTGTGTAACAACACCTCAAAGTGTCCCATTTCTTATTTTACCAAAGATGAAGTAAGAATTAAATAGATTGGAAAATGAGGGAATTATTGAATAGTTTACAGAATCAACTGATTGGTATTGCTATTGTACCTGTAGTAAAAAGAAACGGAAAGTCTGAATATGTGTAAATCTGAAGAAACTAAATCTATCACTGTAAAGGGAACATTACCTGTTACCAAATTTAGATGATATTTTGCCTAAACTAAATAGAACTAATTTTTTTTCCTAAATTGAATGCTACCAGCAGATTCTACCAAATTCTGTTAAATAAAGAAAGCTATATACTCATGACTTTCATTACTCTTTTTGGAAGATATTGCTCCAAAAGATTATCTTTTGATATAACATCAGTTTTGGAAATGTTTCGAAGAAGGATGTCAGAATTACTGAAAAGTATTCAAGGAGTCAAAACAGTTATTGACAATCTATGGTAGAATTAGAGAGCAACACAACGAAATACTAAAAACTGTTCTTAAAACATTACAGAAAGTTGGACTCAAGCATAATAAAGAAAAGTGTGAATTCAAAAAGACACAGCTAGAATATTTTGGGCACATAAATTCTGGTGATGGAATTCTACAAATTTAAGTGAAATATATCATAAGCATGGTCAGATACTTAGGCAAATTCTTAATGAATTTGTCTGAAATAATACAACCAATGATGGAATTATTAAAAAAAGGATACTGTATTTAGAAGGGGAAAGGAATTACTAACTCAGTCCATGACAAATTACTATAGTTTCAGAAAAGAATTGTCATATGTGAAAAACTTAGAGCAGAGATATTAAGGACACTTCATAATAGACATTTGAGACTAAACAAATGCTGAGAGAGAGTCAAAGAATTGGTGTGGTAGCCTAAAATATCTCAGTAATTGGGAGAGTATTTTAAAAAATGCATGTTTTGTAACATACATTGTCCAATAAATAAAAATGAAAAATTAAAAGTAACATTACTTCTCCCAGGTCCATGACAAAGAATTGGTACAGACAACATTATATTGTTGTGGAACAGCCTCAAAACCTGCTGATGGCAATTATAGCAGATATTAATTTATATAATAAAGTATTTTTAAATTGTTTATATCAGTGAATAAATTTTGTTTTGAAAATGGAAATGTCTTTACTTTTGTCATGTCTTTATGTTTTGTAACAATAGCAAAATACTATTTTCATTCTCTTGGAAAAGATAAAAACAATGACAAGCCATTTGAATAACATGCCCCTGGAAGTGAGATAACTGTAAGATCAGGAGGATGTGGGGATATCAGTTTTTTAAAATCTAAATATTCTAGTGTAATGGGTTGAATTTGCCTATGTTTCATACCTATACACTCAAATTAGTATCTGGTATATATCAAACAACAAAGGCCAAATTTAACTTAATTGTCAACTAGAGCCTCTCTCTTGAGAAATTGTGACGAAAGACATGACTTACCTCAGAATTCGAAATGAGCACAAACGTGTCTTGCCTGCAAAGTAATGACAAAAAGAAATATGGACGCTATTGAAGACGCAATTTATGCACGCCGATCTCATCCAAAATGAGATGATATTTGCACACTTGCAAATTTCTGGCGTATTAGAACAGCATAAAAAGTGGGGTTCCAGGAGCACAAGGAAATTGGGAGTCATTCGGCGAACTGTGTGCAATAGAGCTGGACGTACGAATTGACAGATGAACAAAGAGGAAGTTGAAGTAGGCGCGGCTGAGTTTGGTGTCTGTTTCACAACTGCCCAGTGTAATGGCTGAGAAAGAGAGTCACACAATCCATTTCCTTGAGGCGACTGAAGAAGAAGAAAAAAACAGCTGTCCTGCCGGCGAGTACTTCATTTCTTGACCCACCCCTCTCATCACCATTGTTTTTTTTTTACTACAGAAATGTCTTAATATACTATAATATTACTTAATATCTCTGTATGGTTGTGATTTTTGAAAATTTTATTATTTGCATTAAATACATAGAATAACTTGCCTTTATTAGAATTATTTTTTCTAATGTAATAATTACTGACTGTATAGATATATAATATTATTTGTTGTATTTTTTTACTTCTCCATGTGTAATTGCTCTTGCTACTGTATGGGAGGGCTACTTACAAAACATGTCATCCATTATGACATGTTTTTATATAACAATAAATAGTTGCCATTAAATAAAGTGAAATAGATTTCTATCGTGACCAAGAAAATTTTATTTATTGTTCTAATATTCAATTTTAAATAGATAAGTCTGAACTATTAGGAGATCCTCAACTCTTTTTCAACTCTAAGTCAACTCATGTAATACACTTATTATGTTAACAAGAAGTTAAAAAAATGCCTAAGGTTTTTACACTTCTGTTGGTGATGGGAAGAACCACTTTTTGATAATTAGCACTGTTTATTTTTAAATGATGCTTCTCATAACTTAGTAAGTCCAGTACACTGTCAATGTTTTTGTATACACAGTTAATTGTTTTTATGCAGTTCACACTTGGTAGTTTATTTTCTTCCACTTAGCATGAAGTTTAATATTTTTCACTTGGCATTATTTGCTAATTGCAGTGCTAATATTGATTTTATTTTCCAGTATTGGTTCCAAATTTCAGGATCACTTTCAGTATTTTGAAACCATCAGCATACAGTTGGCTTCCTTTGGGCAGAGGATCACTTTTGCTAGCAGTCGTGTGTTACTACTCCAAAGTAAGTAATTCATCAACTTATTTAGGTGAGAAAGAATTTAACTTGTCATACTAGATATTTTTAAAGCAAGTTGTATTTTTTTATGCAAATGTGGTTTACTAAAAAATTAAAGTTAATGATCATATCTAAAAAATGTTTTACATCTGTTCATTATTATGCTTTTAAAACTAATTCTGATATTTTTGCAAAAAAGTAATTCAGTTTGGAAGAACCACTCCTGTTGTATAATATATTTAATCAGTTTATACAAATTTCCCTGTAAGTTAGATGACTATAGCAGGCAGCATATTATTTTCATGATAATAGTTAGGGGGATGTCACCCTAGAGTACTTGTTACAGTTATCTAAATATATGAAGTATCTTTTTTTAATCATTATGCCGTGGATTTTAGAAGTAAGTTCCTTGTTGGATTATAATTTTATAAATTTGGTTAATTCATAAATGAAAAGCAACGTTTCAAAATCTTAAAATATGCTAAAGGTTAAAATTGGAGTCAGGAGAAGGAAGGAAAATTAAAATTCTTGAAATTGAACTGAAGATTTTTGAATGAGACATTTAGAAATTTTAAAGAGATTATTAATTTTTCTTGAAGAAAGATCTGTGCAGGCAATGAGAATTTCAATAGCAAAGAATTATGGCATAAAAACATGTTTTAATGGATTTTGGTTCCTTTTGCAGCATGATTTTTGTAGATTTTGGAAAAGCAAAACGCACATTTGAAGTCTTGGAGGAAAGAAATTTTATGATCAATTTTTAAGAGCCTAGAAAGTAGTTTATAACTGTTGTATGGATTATCTCCCCTTATATCTATTATGTATTTGAATAAGTTCATTAGGACATACTCCATTCCAAGTTGAATGAAGCTTCACTTAAGTTATACCTGCATTTGTTTACTCAGTACAATAACATCATTCACAAGTGAAAGAATTATTTTCTAACAAAGCAAATATTTTTTGATTCTGTTCATGATTTGTCATCTTAACACAAGTTTCTTTGTTTTTCTTTTTCAGATGTTATTGCCAAACAGAAATACCTGTCGAACATTCACCAGCAATTGCAGATAGAAATCCCCATTAAAGACAGTACAGAAGAATCCACTTCACAATTGTTTGATGACCCGTCTGTAAAACTTATATATTAAATATGTGATCTTTTATTTTTTTAATCTATGATTAATCAACTTATTAAAATCATTGTTTGGCATGATTATTATATAAGAATGACCATATTACTAATTATCTTATTATATAAGAATCATCATTAAATTTAGAACCTTAGATTAAAAACTATAATAATTTCTTCAAATAACTTCTTTTGTACTTTATGACCATTATAGTGCTATTAAAGCACATTCATAATCAGGGAAAAAATCTTGTATAAATTGTTAAAACCTGAAACATGTTCACCTTTTTCTGGCTACTTAAAATTAAGATTGTTTTGACCAGAAGACTAGCTTTGAGTTATGGTGAGTACCTACTGGCTGTTGTCCAAGAGAGAAAAAATCACCAACTGCTGACAAAGCATTAAACTGCCAAAATCTATCAATGCAAGTAGTAAACAGGCTTTCTTGCTTATATGAAACAGAAAGTCTATTGTGGCACAAATTGCTGATAGCTTTAATCAAAGTGAAGGATAAAATGCATTGGAACACTTGGTATGTCAACCCTTGTTATGTATAGTGCTGTGTAGTTTGATCAGAATAGCCATGCTAAATAATCACTGAAAGCATTTTCAATGGACATTGGAACTGGACTTGGTATCATATGGTCTGATAAGTCTTGCTTTCTCCAGAATAAGGTAAACAGCAAGATATGTATGCATCTTTATCTTGAGTAAGCATTGATATTGGATACACTGTAAGAAAACAAACCAGTAGAGACAGTATGATAGTTTGGGCAATGTTCTGCATTGAATCCTATCATTCATGTGGAAGGTACATTGTACATAAACCTACCTAAATGAATACCATGTACACCACTTCATGGCAACAGGTTTCAGTGATGGCAGTGGCATCTCCAGCAGGAAAATGTGCCTTGCTGCATTGCATGAGAATGATTTCAGGAACAAGAAAAACACCAAATTCCCATGAGTTAATATGACATATGTGGGACTAGCAACTTTGCTCTGCAAGTCCTCCATACCTATCATTCATGTAGAAGGTATTTTATCGCATACTATCTATTTTGGCATCAATGACTTTGTTGCTTACCATATACACCAATATCATGTCATAATTTAACAGAACTAAGCACCATGAATTGTACAGGAGTGGTTTTGACAAAAATGAAGACGATTTCATTGCATTGTCATGGTTACCAAAATTCCTATATTTTAATATTATAGAGAATTTATGAGATATGTTGGGGCAACAATTTCACTCTACACCTTGTATCTTGCATCAGTTAAGGGACCTACTAGTACCAGTTCTCAAAGGAAATAGCTGTTTAGAAGACACATGGAGAACCCACAATTTTCTTAGCTGGTGATCATAATGTTCTGGTTCATCAGTGTATATAATTTATTTAGAGGTTCAGTAAAAATAAAAAAAAAATAACTAATCATTTTTATGGTAAGCTCAATCCAGAGACTAGTGAAAAAATGTATCCATAAGATTCAAGAAACTTGTATCATATTAATTCATCCTTGGTGTCTAAAATGTTGGATTTGATGGAACATGGATCCTTTGTTATTTTAATTTAATTTTTTTTTTGTTTACTTAGTGTACCAGTGTATGCAAAGACTGAGCTTGTGCGATTACAAAAAGAAAGAGATTTACTAGCTATGCAATTGACTGAAATTGTGCAAGGAGTGGAAGAAAGAATCCAAACAACAAAAACTGAGTGTAAGTATTTTCTATAAGAAAAAGTTAGTTTGCATAAGTAAAACAAATGGAGCAGTTTTATTTTTTAAAACAACTGAGTAGGTATGGATGAATTAAAATAATTCAGTGTTTATTCACTGTTCTTCAGAACAATATCATTGGAAGTAACTGTTTTAATTAGAAGGTAAAAATAAAGATTATTGAAATAAAGCAAAAATAAAATAATATGGAAACAACATTTACATTGTTCAGACTATCATCCTCATCTTTGTTACCATATTTATCACAACATTTTGGCCGTTGTACGCTCTGGCCTTCTTCAAGTGTTTGGAATTTCTAACTGAACCCTTTATTTCGCTCGCTGGGGTAGACTGTTCTAGTTCCACGTGCCATGTCTAATGGATGTCAGTTATAAGTTATGTCCTGTTAATTCCCCTCTCCAACTTCCCCACCACCGACCAAGCATAGAAATGAATACAATATGGGAACCAGTAATAAGGAGTGCCAGAGTGCGTGCAATAATAACAATGAAAATTGCAATATGATCTCTGGTAAAAAATGTGCAATGATAACAGCAAAAATTGCAATATGAGCACTGGTAAAAAAAAAATTAGTTGCTGAAGACATTAGGTTTATAATACCCAGAAATTCATACACAGATGTCCTCAAGGACACATGGCACAGTGGATAAAGGCATTAGTTAGATCCAGTGACAGGACGCAAAGAGTGTGAGTTCAATACCTGGTTAAGGTGGTGGAGAACTTGGAGAGGGGAATTAACAGGAGATAACTGATAACTGACATCCATTAAACATGGCATGTGGAACTAGAACAGTCTACCCCAGTGAGCGAAATAAAGTATTCAGTTTGACATTCCAACCACCTGAAGAAGGCCTGAGTGTACAACAGCCAAAACATTGTGATTAATATGACAAGATGAGGATGATAGTCAGAACAATGTAAATAGTGTTCATAATACCTCATCTCAGAAATATAAACAGATATGGAAACAAGTATATTAAATGTAATAAAAAAATAAAATATTTGTGGAGAAATGTTAATTTCAATAGATAATCCTGGAAATTATTGGCTTAGAATAAATATTATTTGTAAGTTATTAGATCAAAGCAGGCTGGTTTCTAATAAAAAAAGATTTAAGGACTTTTACAAAGAAGGTTAAAAGCAAATAATTCAACAGAAACCAATCAAATTTGTAATATTTTTTCTGTGATTTATACTGAGAATAAACTTTGGTCTCAAGCAAGATGGAAAGTTAAGAGTTGAAACACATTATATGAATTATTTTTTAATTTAAAATTTTTAGCTAATTATTCTTTTGTAAAACTTTAGATAAAAAACAAGAAACTTACCTAAAGAAAGAATTGCTGGAGACACAAAACTCCCTTCAAGCAGCATTAGAGGTAAGTCATTTTTTTTATTTTCACGTAAGTGGACTCGTTCCTAAATGTAAATGAGAAAAAAGAAATATGATTTAGACTTTTAAATAACTATTTATTTTTTTAAAATAACTGAGAAAGCATGGATGAATTAAAATAATTCAGTGTTTATTCATTATATCTTTTTGTATCTCAATTTGCAATTTTTTTTTGTTTTAAATAACTCCTTAATATTACACAAACAATTCTAATTAACATATTCCCTAAGAATGTTGTAGATAATTGAAATTAACCTTTATAAAAACTAAATAATAATAGAAATAATAAAAATAACAAACCCAATAAATTTATTTTGTAACCAAACTCATTGCAACTATGAAACAGCCATCAAAACATTATTTAATGATGCTCATTTTCAAGCAGATATGATAAAACTATATAAAATTAGTAATTTGCTATAAAACAGAAAATCTGTTAAAGTTCCATTAATTCCCATAATTAATAGACATGGAGTGCTAAGTACCAGCATTTCTCCAACTAGTATACACTAAATACTTGTTGAGAATATGCATATTGCTTTAACAGTAAAAAACGGAAAAAGTCATTTTTGCATTGTTCAATCAGATTGTGAAAACACATTATAATGCAGATATTTATGAATAGTAGTTAAAAAAATAGCTAAAATCTACAATTTCTGATCATTCAGTTCCTGAATTTCAATAATAACTAAAAAGAACTTGATCATAAATTTTTGAACAGTAGCTACTTACTTACTAGTGACCTCTGTTCACTTAGAAAGAAGAAAAGTTAAAAAATTTAAAAAAAATTGTCAGTAGCCATTAACCAAATACAGGTTAATGCAGGACTGCTGCTCAAGTACACATTTACGAATTTATAGATTCTTGATAAAAAACAGCATTAACAACAAAATTCATAATCATGATGGATAGACATTTAGACAGTTACCGTAATGCTAAGAGTACAACTGAAAACAACCCTATATAAAAAATATGAAATCATTTGTGTTATTATATATGACCAAGTTATTTCAGTTTAGCACTTGTGCTAATTAGCACTTAAACAATGTATGATGCATAAACTTTAACAATAATTAAATAAAATATAAAATAAATAAAAAATAAAAACTGAGTTGAAATTAGTTAAACTTTAATTTCTTTAAGGATGCAGTTAAAGTAAAAAGCAGGTATTTGACTGCTTAACCTCAATTTGTTTTTTGTCTTGTTTAAGAAGATTTTGTTCTTGTCAAATAAATTTGTTTCTGAAGATGCTAAAATATGTCAAAGTAGAAATATCCCATTTACTTCATATATATATATATATATATATATATATATATATATATATACTAGCAGCATGGCCTGGTGTTGACCCGTGCTTGATTCAAAAATCGTACGACTCATACAGCAATTGCTATCACTTGATTTAAAATATTTTTGCCCTTCCTTGCCTTTAAAGGAGTGTCCTTTGCCGTGCTGATGTTGCTACATGCCTTACTTCTTGCCTATCTCACACTGTGAATTTTTTCTAAGCTCTATACTAAACATTAAATCTGTTACAAAAAAAGAACTAAAGAAAATGAACACAAAACGATCAGCTTTAAAAAAGGACTTGTAATTGGAAGAACCGAATGAAAAAAGAATGTTAACTTTTTCACACCCAACCTAGTTCTGCAGAATCAGAATCAACGTTGAGTTTAGGCAAGCAAATGACCCAATTGGAGTAAAGTGCCATGCTGATTTAAATTTTTCCCACTTGTGACAAATGCAGCTATCGATTTCTTTTTGCATGCTAGTGTCAGTCAGCTGTTGGCTCTCATGCTGGCCAGTAGAATCTTCCTGCCTATTCGTGGCAGCCAGCTATAGGCTCTCACTCTGGCCAATAGAAAATGACTGCAAACTACATGAAAACTGCCATAGTAGCATGAAAAATCAATTATTTTCATTATCGATGGGAGTTGGGAAATGCAAAGTCAGTCTTGGCCTTCCCACTAACTTGGAGCATGTGCATGTAAATTTTCGTGCAAATCCATCGAAAATTGCGGCCATGCATTCATTACACACACACACACATCCTGCCTTTTTATATATATATATATATATATATATATATATATATTGAGCACTTTTTTATTGTTTTAGCTGTTGGTAGGGAGCTTTACCTTTGGTTGTGGTAGATGCTATTTTCAGTAGCCTAATTATTTTATTAGATGCTTTTGTCAGTACCCTAATTATTTTATATTCAATGTTTTGGGTGTTTTTTTTTAAGCATTTCGCCCTAAGCAAGTCAGAAGTGCCATTATCACACAGGGGGTTATGGAGAGTGAAAATGAAAGAAAAGAGTGGGTGTAGGGGGGATTGAAGGAAGGAAAAAAGAACAGGTATCAACGCAACAAAACATGGAGACTGATGTTGCTTTTAGGTTTTTGATGATTGTAGTTATCAGGGAAGCAAGCAAGAGGAATGCAGTTCCAATATGGAAAAGTGCGAGGAAAGAAACTGTTAGAAGGGCAGTTACATTTAACTATTTCAACAGTAAAAAGTTGGGACCTAGATGCCAATCTAGTAGTACACTTAAATTCATGTAGTCAGGGGACCAGGGAAAAATGCTCATCAGTACAGTCGCCATGAAAATATTTGTAGAAAAGACAGAGGGAAGCCACATCATGTCTGTGAGAAAGTGGCTGAAGTCAAGAAGCTAATTCAGTACCGATTACATTACAGATCCTACTTTTTTTTTTTTTTGAGAATATTGCAGTAAGGGAAAATTTTATGGATAAAACTTTAACTGCGCAAACCATAAAAATAAAAATGCAATCTATGTTGTTATTCATTTAAACATCATCATCATCATTTAATAGTAATAAAAAAATATATATATATATATATATAATATATTTAAAGTAATAATAATAGTAATAAATAGATACACACATATACAATACACACATGCATATATATATATATATAAACTTACATAGTTACAAACCTAATATATATTTTTCAGTGTTTGATGCAAAATAAATGTCTATTTTTAAGACTATATAAACTTATTTTTATGATGACATTTAAGTATAATTTCATTTCTCTGGTTCAATAACTGGCTTGTATTTTTGTACTTGCTTTTATTAACACTTGAGATGTGGAGGTTTATTTTCCACGAGGGTCGGCCAGGTGAAGGTGGGAGGGGGAGCACGATGCTCTACCCCGGAGCCAAGTGATATTTAGCTACCCCACCCACGAGTGTTTGCTTGGTGGAAGAAATTGGCTGTATTTATGTCGGCTGCGCTTAGCATCGTAGGCGGTTGGCAATATCTTTTGGTTGATGACTAAAAATTAACTTCCACATTTTGACTGTACACATAGGTTTCATTTGGACACCATGTGTATTTAAAGTAGTTTCCAGTTATTATTTTTAGTTAGGAGGACTTGTGTATGTTTATATTTCATTTGTTTTACTTTTTGTGTAACGTTCTGTGAAAGAAAGCTTGAGCTTACACAAAAATATTATGGTGGGGTTGGAGTATATACTACAACAAACAAGACATAGAATTAATGTTCCTGCAAATACCAGTAAAAACATAAAACTATACATCAGACATTATAATCAAGTTCAAATATGACCTGGAAAATTTGCAGTCAAGTGGGATGACAACAAATTTACTTTTGCTGAACTGCCTGGATCCAAGGGGATATCAGCTACTGACTACCAGAATTTGGCAGAAAAACACAAAATGATTTTTCCAACCAGTTAGAATATGCTATTTCTAAATCCAGTGTATGACTCCTTTACAGGAGTCATTCTGGGATTTCTGAAATACATTGATGATTCACCTGAGTGACAGTAGGTATATATCTCTGAGTTACTCACCAACTTTATTTATATTTCAACAACAATTCTGATAGGTTCCTCAGAGAGTACCATGCTTGTTGTTCAGACACATACATACATTCAGGCATTAATGATGTAGCAAATCTACAAACCATATAGCTACGACATCACACCATGTATTTTATAACTAAGAGTGTTATTCCTCTCAATAACCATTCTGGCACATTTGATATCAACAAATAATCACCTTAAGAGGTTGTCCTTGTGCATCATTTGATGGTTATATCATCATCTTTTTCTGCCCAAGTTATCCCCATGTACCAATTTGCATTCAAGAAGATTAAGTGTTTGGATATAGATACTAAAAGCTACAAACAATTCTACCTTCAATAACCTCTAGTTACATTGTAGGTCAAGTTTGATATCTGCTCTGCCATTTGTGAGATCAATAAACTGCCTGACCCAGGGATGGACCTCACTATTATTATGCCACCAAATTCATGAACCAACAGTTTTAATCCCATGGGACAATTCTGAGAGGAAATCTTAACCCTTAAACTTAACTTTCCTACTTATGTGTGCTGCTGCTGTTTATCACATTTGACTGCATGTGCTCCTCATTTCTAGTGTGGCTGCTGCTGCTGCTATTGAAACTTTGCTGTCATTTCTCTTTATTTCTTTATTAACAGCTCCCATATCATTTATTTCTATATTAGGTCTACTAAAGAGGCTGTCATAAATATCTGAAAGAATCAGCTCATATATATGTAAGAATTTGCAGCTATTCCTTCATTAAAGTATATACCGGAAGGAGCTGAATGTATCAGTTGTCAGATTTGGGCATGTGATGTTTTTGTTCTTTAACATGTGGTATATCAGTGTAATCATGCATGCGCACACTCACACATAGTGTTGTCACATCACCAGTTATTGAGAGATGGAAAAATGACCAGTGATGAGGTCTGCTTTTTATAGAGGTTCCCTTTTCACTTATTTTTCTATGTCACAGATAATATTGAAAGTTTCTTTTTTTTACCTAAAAATCTTAACAAGTGTACATATGTCTCATGTTGTAAACCAAGATTAAAGATGATTCTGTCTCTTACAAAACATTACAATAATACATTACACATATGCCCATTCTAGCTGATAAACCACTGAATTGTCACGGGAATTAAAATTCCTAATATCTAACTTGGGTAATAACTCAAAATGTATTATTCATAGGTAGGTTTGAATAAAGCTTTTGGATTGATTTTAATTTTTGGCAAAGTTTAACAAAAGTACCTGCAAAAAAATAATGTCAAAATAACGTTTTTTTTTTTCTTTACACTGCCATTACTTTATACTCCCTCTTTTTACAAGTACATTTGTTAAACCTGGTGAAATTATTCTTATAAATAAACACTCTGATAAATACTGTTTAACATTTTTGTTGTAAATTTTTCAGAAAAAAATGAAAATACTCAGAAACTCTCAACTTATTTTACAGATGAAAGAAATATCTGGAAAATTCATTGTTTTCAAAATTTATGATTACATTTATTCGTTTTGTAATTATTAAATTTTCTTATTCTATACATCACAGACATTTTTATAAATATATGAATAAAAAACTTTGTCATTGTTAATTTATATAATATGGTAAATAATAAATATTATGGTTGGTTTACATATTTTTACTATTTTGTAAATATATAATTAATCTTGTAAATAAACTATCTAATAAATAAGTAGTGTTTAAAATTTTCCTTACAATTTTTGAGAAAGGAAATGTATAAATCCCGATTCATATGTTTAGGTTTTGTTAAAATTCTAAAAATAGCTTTTTAAAACAACAAAAATTACTGTCGGAATATATGATAATAGCGTTGTCAAGCAGAAAACATTTGACAAAGCATTTTTTTGCAGTTATGTTTGTTAAACTTTGCTGATTTTTTTATTTTCAGAAATGTGACTCTCTGACACTAGAATTCCAAGAGATGCAAAACAAGTTTGAAGAGAAGAATACTGAGGTGGAATCTTTAAAGCTGAATTTGTCTAAGCAAAAGGCAGAAGCAAAACAAAGTAAGATGAGTGTAGCATAAACTTATTAAGTTAGTGTGTTTCCTTTTTGGTTTGAGATTTTAGATTTATTAATATCTTTTGTGTAGGTGTGAGTATCTGTTTTTATATTGATATTTAATAGATGAAAAAAGAACAGATCACAGAACTAAATATCATAAAAAAAATAGGTTTATTGTGGAAATCTGTCATACAATGGCCAATGATTTGTCATATTGTTAGTAGTATTACTAAAGAGCACAATTTACTGTTTTATGGTTTATATTCTATTATAGAATATAGAGAGAAAAGATGAAGAGATAGTTTCCTCATTTTAAATTGTTTGATCACTTCTAACTGCACAAAAAGGCTGGGAAGAACAATGAGTGGCTCTCCTGAAGGTCAGCATCAGCCATGCTGAGAGAAGGCAGAAAGAGTTCTCTCAGATAATTAATAGAGAGCAGTTTAGTTTTGGAAGCATTAAATTTAACAAGCCATCCTTTGCCCCAGTTAGACTGAAGGTTGTTTTTGATATCCGCCACCAATTTGACCTTATTGAACTGTGATTAGGCTTACTATCGAGACAAGAGTAAATCATTGTCAACAGCATAGATACCAAGTTGAGAGCTGATGCCATTGAGGAAGGTAATTAATAAAAATTAAAAAAGTAGGGCTAAGGGTAGAGCCCTGGGGAACACCTGAATTTCTAGATTAGAGTTTGATAGACTCCTTCTGCAATTATTATCAGTACATCAGCAGTTGACCTAGAGAAATGAAAGTCATATTGCTTCTCTGAAAGAACACCCTGTGATATGAGGTGCTTAATCAATTCAGCATTGATCAGTGCCTCTAGTAGAAAAAGAGGTTGAAGGCTAATAGGTTGATAGTTGAATATGACAGACAAGGAGATTCCAGTTGCATTCAATATGTGAAGCTCAGAATAAACACTTTCACTAATATTCAAAACAGCACAAAAAATACATCTTAAACAGTGAAACATAAAGAGAAATTAACAACAACTAAAAACAAAAACCTTTGAAAATGTCTAAAGTACTTGGAAGAATGAACAATACGGACAATTTTTGTTCTCTGTTACTTCCACCAAATGGAAAAATTTAAGAATGTTGGAAAAACTAAATAAAAAATTCATCAAATTTTCCTTGTCTGTCATATTCAATGAAACAGGTTTAAAAGAAAGGTTGCCGCCCAAGTATACATTAATATATATATATATATATATATATATATATATATATACTCACCTCAATTACTGACTTACATATTTAATGATCACTCGGACTTACAACATTCCCTATGAACTGTCATTGGTAATGTACAATATGATACAGTAGATATCTTCATGAGAACGCTGAAAAATGAGCATGGCATGATAAAATATGATGATAAAACAAAATGTTATCTTCAAAAGGTTTATGTTACTATTAAGAGGAAAGACCAAAGTATTTTTAATTTTATTGAATTTTTATGTCCTTTTTAGAAGATTCTAACTTTTGATTACAAAACTTGTTTATGTCAGAGAGACTACTAACATAGCACATTTTTTTGCAATGACAGACATTAATTTGGAAAAAATCATACCCTAAAATTTTATAATTGTACATAAAATTATACTATTATGTACCTTTCTTATGAAATTTTATCTCACTCAGTAGATATATTTTCATTTTTTTATAGTATTTTTAATTTTTCCAGAAAGTATCAACAAACATATGGTGAAAGCTGAAGTACTAAAAAAATATTAGACTGCTGAAAGTTTTTCTTACTTTAAAAATTATGAGATTAGCTGGTTCACTTAAAGCTAGAATAGATTATGTCACTTCTGTCCATCCGTATGATAATTAACCCCTCATGTTAGGTGTCAATACATAATGAAATCATCATTCATCACTTGTCAATTGTCACTGTTGTTAAGACAAGCCTTCTCTTATTTAAACTACAATTTTTCTGTGAAAAAAAGTAAGTAATGTTTGTTTCAATATATATATATATATATATATATATTCTTCAAGTAAATCTTCAAAAAGGTATAATTGATTTTTGCAAGATTTTTAAATGGAGAATTTGACTTCTGTTTACAAAATCCTAAAAAGTGGCTGACATATCAATTTTTAGGAATTTCACTGATTCAAAATAAAAAAGATTTTTAACTAAAATTTAAGACATGCTAAGAAGGATTAACAAATTTCAAAAATAAATTGGTCTTTCCTCTCACTCACTCTCTCTCTAGTAGTAAACTACACTAGTGTCACTATTTACAGTTTTGTCTCATTTTTCCATTAAATCTTGCACTCCATAGTATGGGATGCCTTTAAAGAGGAAGAACACATCTTTACCTGCAGGCAGCACCAAGAAGCAATGGAATTGATGACTATGGAGGAGGTAAGGCAGTAAAGGATATTGCATGTGCCATGGAAATGGCTTATTCTACCATCTCTGCTATTTTGAAGGAAAAGGATAGAGTGAAGGAGGCAGTCAAAGCATCAACAGATTTCAATGCAATTATCACAAGACAGCAGAAAGGCCTCATTCACAAGATGGAAAAGTTATTGGCAATCTGGTTTGATGACCAGATTCAAAAAAGAATGCCAATGAGCCTTTTGATCATCCAAACAAAGCCATTCAGTATTTTTGCAATGTTGAAGGTGTGAGGAGAAGAATTGACTGAAACCTTTACAGCAAATCTTGGATGGCTTCAAAGCTTTCATTGTTGATTTAATTTACATAATTGTGCGAGTCAGTAAGTGCTGGTGTGAAAGGAGCTGAGAAGTTTGTGGAAGATTTCTACAAGATCATTGAAGATGGCAGCTATTGTTCAGAACAAATATTTAATATGGATGAAACTGGACTTTTTTGGAAAAAGATGCCAGGGAGATCCTATATCCATAAGGAAGCCAAAAAGCTATGCCGAGTTTCAAGGCTCTCAAGGACAGATTAACTTTGTTGGGAGGAAATCTCGTTGGATTCAAGTTGAAGCCATTCCTCAGTTATCATTTGGAAAATCCACAGACACTAAAAAATGTTAGTAAGCACACACTGCCTGCGTATTATTGTGCTAACAACAAGGCCTGGATGGCTCAAGCATTATTTGAAGATTGGTTTATCAACTGCTTCGTACCCTTAATCAGAAATTATTATTTGGAAAAGGTGTTCCATTTAAAGTTATTCTCATGCTTGACAATGCCCCAGGCAATCCCCAGCATGTTACAGTAGAGTATTTGCCTAAGAACATGACTACTGTCTTACAGCCTATGGATCAGGGGCTATAGATACATTCAAAGTGTACTATTTACAGAAAACATTTTCCAAAGCTATAGCGGAAATAGAAAGTGGTGAAGTGACCCTTTGTGATTTCTGGACAAATTACAATATCCTGCAGTGCATCAAGAACATTTCATCAGCTTGGATACAAGTAACTGAAAAGTGTATGCAAGGCATATGGAAAAAATACCAGAAACATTTCCTTAACCAATTCAAAGGCTTTGATGAAGGTGAACATTTGGGAGATGTAAATAGAACGGTTGTGCAACTTGCTAACATGCTGAATTTAGAAGTGGAAGTGAATGACATTGAAGAATTGGTAGAATATAAGGAGAGCTAGGTAATGAAGATTTAATATAGTACTTGGAAGAAGAAAGAACAGAAGTAGTACAAAAGAAGTTCACTGTAAAGGGATTGGAAAGTGTCTTCTCAAAGATTAATTCTGTGCTCTTAGAACTTGAGGCTATGGATCTGAATGTTGAGCACTTCACCAATGTAGAAAGGCAAACAAATGAACTTTTCTGATGTTATCGGCAAATATACAAAGAAAAAAAATAAGATAATGAAGCAAACAACACTGATGAAATTCTTCTTGAAAGTTCCACCCAGGACCCTGACACCTACCCTTACTGGTTCCTCTGACATCTCTTCCTTATCACCCTTACCCAGGCACTCAGCTACTCCTGACTACCCTAGTGATATGACTGATAAGGACTTTGATGGCCTTGCACCACTACCAAGCTTTGAAGGATTTGATGACTGGATTCTTAGTAAGAGTTTATTTTTGTTCATAAGTTTTGCTTATTGTATTCATGTTTTGAACCATATTAGTATGTAAAGATTATGCAAAGTTATCAATCATTGTTTGTCTGTCAAAGTTGGAGTTTCCTTTTGCTCATTGTATTTTCCAGTTTTGAACAAAATGTAAAGATTATGCAAATTAAAACAAACTTTTTTTTTGTTTCCTTTAAACTGTTTCTTTATTATGTTATTAGAGCCGTATAAGTGACGGTGGTGGTGCCACATTATTGAAGGTGTTGGATATCCTTGATATCATGAAAATGTGAATCTAGCTCCTCATTTATCAGAGGCTGTATATATAAATATATATATAGAGACAATATACACTTCCTTAGTTACATACCACAAAATGTAGATCTGGGAACACTTATTGCAACTTTTGACATCAGTAGCCTATATAGCAACATACCCCATGAATTAGGTAAACAGACAATCTCATTCTAGATTGAAAAACATCCAGAAACACTACATCCCAGATTCACTAAGGAATTCATTATTGATAGTATAAACCTAATTCTAAACAATAACACCTTTGAATTTGACAACAAAAACTATATCCAAACAATGGCAATGGGAACGAAAATGGCACCAACATATGCCATCCTAACATTAGCTTACCTAGAGGAAAACCTGTATGGAAAGATAGAACAAATATATGGGCAAAATATAAAAACCTACTTCACTAAATCTTGGAAACGATACTTAGATGATTGCTTCATTTACTGGAAATCCTCATGGGGTAATAATAACCAATTCCACACTCTACTTCAGAACTTACACCCAAAAATCAAATTCACCCAAAAATATAATTTCAAGGAATTACCATTTTTAGATATACGCATTAGAAATAAAAACAACCACATAATCACAGATATCTACCACAAACCTACAGACACCCAACAATATCTTCATTTCAAGAGCCATCACCCAAAAAGCTGCCTGAAATCTATCCCCTATTCTGTAGGATTTGTACTATAGTGACTGACAAACACCTCTGATAAACCCAACTGGAAGAACTACATAAAATTCTAAAAAAAATGACGTTACCCCACAACACTAATAAACAAAGGTTTTGAACTTGCAAAAAAATTCCTTTAGACCAACTACAAAATCCAAAGAAACGTAATGTCAAACAAACTGTAGCATATATCTCAACATACAAGAAGAACAATCCAGAACTATTTACAGAAATTACAAAAAATCTAGACCTACTTAACAAGAATGACAGACTGAAAAAGATACTAAACACAACCAAAATAATAAAAAGTAAATACCAATCTAAAAGTTTGAAACATATATTAGCCTCATCCAATTTAACCAACACACAATACAGGGCATCACAAAATGCAACAAAAAGGGGTTTGTGATATCATTATAGAAGGAAACTCCTACACTTTTGAAAACCCCAACATGACATTCATAATAAATAAAAATTAAAACTGCAACTCCAAAAATGTGATTTATGCACTCAAAAGGCACAAAATGCAAGAGGTCATATATAGGTATCAGCCAAGCTTTAGACAACAGAGCAACATCACAAAAGCAACATCAAATTACCAAACAACAGAAAACTCTTTGTATCACAATACATCTATAAATGTAATCAGAGTATATTTAAAATTATGCCAATATACCAAACAGGTAATTATTCTTACCTACAAATACAAGAAAAAAAGTTCA